TAATGGAATGGTAACCCCACCCGCGCTATCGGTATACACCGGCGGGGTACCAGTGAAGGATGATAGGTGAGGATGAAACAAGAATTGTTCACGATGGTTTCCAGGGGGAACCACGTGGAGGTCGACCTACTAGGGCATATTGCTAGCAATGGGACTGTCAAACTCCATTGCTAACAATCCCTTTCCCCCCTGAGGGTCGTGGTTATATGAGTATAGATTTTCCCCCAATTTAGTAATTTTCCTTTAGAATGGTACGATAATGAAAGATGCGAACGACATCTACGCAGATCCACGAACTAATAGCAGATAACAGCACCAACGAGATTCGGTTGCATAATCATCATGACGACTCTAACGAGTGGTACATAATGATTAGAATTATCGTGCCAAATCGATCCTACTTATTTATTTTTGAGCTTTTCCCAAATTGAGGAAGTTGTCATCGCGCCTATGTAATCTTCGTGGCTATGTTAAGCGATTCTGATAGTTCTTGTTGCAATCAAATCAATGGGGGTATTCAACTCCTGGTTAGACCAATTTTAATATTGTAACGATTGAAGTCGCCGTTTTTCTACGTGCAGCAAAATACAGCTTTGTACGAAGCTAGGTATACAATCTCGCAGACATATGAGTACGATTCCGCGTTCTAAATTCAAATGTTGCCAATCTACCTATCTAATCTACGGGCTTCTCTCATTTGTCTATGAGTTTTTTTTTTTTATAACGACGTAAGTCGTTTTTTTTTACGAGCAAAATCTATTTGTTACATTCTGTAATGTCAAACACTAGCCGAGAACCATTGATATAGCTGAGAGCACATTGTTTTCCAAAGGCGTGACTATTCAGCCGTATGAAGGAAGTCAATGCCTACCTATCCAACCGAATCACGCACTACAGTTCGTTTCAATAAAACTTAATAAAAAAGTAACCAAGTTTTGTTTAAATTATTACATAAACAATGCCTAAATGTAATCTATACTTATAATAAATCTGTAGAGAGGTCAATTCTGTACATGAAATATATTTCCAAAATAACTATCAGCGGGTGATTAGTGATCGATACTGACGCCAAAAATGCAATCAGTAAATTTTTTGTCTGTCTGTACGTATGAAAACAAAACAAAACATTTTTATAGAAACAAAAACTACTCGACGGATTTTAACGAAACTTGGTACAATTATTCTTTATACTCCCGGGCAGGTTATAGTATACTTTTCATCATGCTACGATCAATAGGAGCAGAGCAGTGAAGGGAAATGTTAAAAATGTCCACTCGTGCGACGTCGGGACGGGCCGCTAGTTAGTAATAAATCGAATCAATCAAATAATCGATATTTTATTAGAACTACTATTGGACATCAGCAGACCGTTTAAATGGTCGTATCGATTATTCGTTTGTTTACCATTTTTATGACGTTCTATTGAAATCGACTATGGTACTGTTCTGAACAATAAATAATAAAGTCTAGTCTCATCTAATTGATATCTATTTCTAGAACAGACAATCCAATTACAAGTTCAACAGTAAATATTAATATATATACATACTACATACATCACGTTCAATTAATATTTATTGGTAATAATTATACTTCGTAATTTAATAATAATTAAGGTTTCGGTTCGTGTCACGTGTACGCATAGATAATAAATAAATACCTACAGTGTGCCTTAAAGTCACGTTTTTCTAAAATGCAAGCAAGCGCATATTTTCTATTTTTTTTTTTTTTCATTTTCTAATCTTTGTTTTATTTTATTTTATGTTACAGAATAGAAAATAACGTCCGTAACATAATTTTATGTCCTGTGACTACAACCATTTAATTTTTTATTATATATAAAGTATGTATCATGCATATAGTTACCATTGCAATTAAACTAACACCTGAAAAACCAATAGTGTGGGGGGAAAGGGATTGTTAGTGATGAAGAATAAGAATCCCATTGCTAGCAACATACCCAGCCAGGTCGACCTCCTCGCGGTTCTCCCTGGAAACTATCATGGTTAATTCCTGATGAATTCATCATGATGGGCTAACTGGCCTGTTTTCATTAACATCGATTAGCCTTCACTGGTGCTCCGCCAGCGTATCCCGTTAGCGCAGGTGAGGTTACCATTCCATTTTCACCCATCAAAAAAAAAAAAACACCAATAGTGTTACACACGTGTTCCCGACCTTCGTAGATCTCGAGTTATAGGTAGTACCTATCCAATAACTAAGAATGTTTGTAGAATGCAACAGGTACCCATGCTAATGATATGATGTAAAGTCTCTCTGGTATAATAAAGAATGTCTCTGTGTATTGTCCGTTCTATTCTAATAGAGAGTGACGTGTCACGATGACGACACAGTAGTAGTCACGTGTAGAAAAAAATAATAATAAATACCTTACCTACTACAATGGTCAGCTCTCTGTTATTCTATGAATCGTATCTATGCGCGTATCCGACAGTCAATTGTTCAAAATCGTCAACTGCTAAAACGAACGAGGTTCTATTTTTAAACGACAAAATTTAAAGTAGACCCTCGTTTGAAAAAAAATATATACGACTTCCAAAAGAGGAAATTTTTACATATGCTACGCGATTAGTTACGTCGCTAATTTGGAACCGATTTTAATAATTCATTTTACAATCGACAGCGTTCACTTCAATATCGGTCGTATAATTTGCGATTGGAACTGCCATTTTTGAAGGATAAAGAACTGCTTGTTGCAAAGCAAAATCCGAATATTTTCAATGTTTTCAACGTTTACGAATAAGCCAAATATCTCCAATTACCCAGCAGGGAATTTAGTCGTGAGCACATTTATTTATGTTCATATTAAATTTTATATTTCTAATTTCGAGGTCATTGAGATGCGACCAAATTGATTATAGAATACAAGATAAGGCAAACATCTAAGAATTTTGCGTGTTCACTGCTAAAAAAATCGTGTTTCGTGCATTTCCGCAATTCCGAAATACACCTATTACCATCTTTAAGAGTAGTCATCCTTGCTATGAACATTCTGCAGTACTATCGAGCAATCACCTCGATGGCAAGGTCAAACTGGCATCCAAAGAGTTTGGACTGCTAAATTCAGTGTAAAGTGGTACTCCCAGCATTAGTAATTGTGAAGATAAATGAGAGATCATACCAAGACTAGTTAACTTTTATAAGGCACACTTATTGTACTTATTGCTCATTTACTAACATAGGTTAAGTAAATTTATAACTAACAAAATGGGCCGTATGTTGTCTAAATAAATAAATATTAATTATTATAATAATTTTTTTCTATAACTTTTTTGGTGTACAAAAAAGTATGTAAGAATATAAATATATAAGAATTCACAGGGTACAGAGGAATAACACTCGAGTCCTCGACAATGACAATGCATGGGGGGTATTATGGGTGAAACAGTTTACTCTGTTATGTCTATAGTACTGCTCATGTCTATAGGCGATACTTACCACTTTCCATCAAGTGGGCTGTCAGCTTGTTTGCTATTCTAAGTTGCATAAAAAAAACTAGTATAAGGTGAGGCTTTATCTTGGTGTATTTTATTTCTTCTATAATGTATTGTGTGCTAAGGTATTATTAAGAGATGACATTAATAGTCACCATTTATAACAGAACCTAAATAGATGCATACAGATGCATGCAGTACAGTTGCAGTCAAGTTTTCAACTGCTACCACTTAAGTTACGAAAGAATGAATTTCCTGCCAAGAAGAGAAGAGAAAGGTAACTGCAGCATGGAGAATGGACAAATTACAATGTTACAACTCCATCAATTGAAGGGGAAAAGTAATTGTTAGCAATGGAGTTTAACAGCTCCATTGCTAGCAATATACCTTATTAGGTCGACATCCATGTGGTTCCCCCTGAAAACCATCGTGAACAATTCTTGTTGAATTCGTCAGGATGGGCTAACTAACCTACTTCATCCTCATTTATCATCCATCACTGGTACCTCGCTAGTGTATACCGATAGCACAGGCGGGGTACCATTCCAATAATCTCCATCAATTGAGAATCTCCTACCCTCTTTTTGAAGTTAGTTGAAAAATAAAATGCACGTAATTCAGTACACATGTCTAAGGGAAAATTTCTAGTATTAATTTGATATGACAAAAAATTAAAAATATAAACCAAAATGTATCCTAACAAATTGATAAAGGAATTTTAATAAGCAGCAGTTGCAAAGTTATTAATCACTTTTACTAAGTGGACTTAACAGTGGACAGTTTTAACAACAGTATGTACTTCACTTGTCAATTTATTGCCTAATGAAGATTCAACAAAATTTAGCCAGAAAAAAAATATTTGTAATAAAAAGCTATATTTTTTTTTTTTTATTTTATAAAACAGAATGGTAAACAAGCTTACAGCCCTCCTGATGGAAAGTGGTCACACACATCAACACAAAAAGCATCATAAATTCATCAAACTATGTGATTGATAAATTATTCATCATATAGAAATTTGAACTTAATTTTTTCTAAGACATTACTTATTTTATGCTTATTTAATCTATTAATAATATATATTTTTTTAATTTTTCAAATTTTTAATAATGAATATTTCTAACTAATTTTAAAAGGATGAAGTTTTCTAATTATCTCTTTATTGAGTGTAAGCTAATTGTTACCAACTGTGAAACAACTTTATTCTTTATTAAAATGTGTCTATAGCCCTTTCCTGCTAGTAAAAGAAAAAAATTAAGTTTTAAATAGTGAATAATTAAAAAACCACTAACTGAACCAACCAACCAACATTCTACTAATATTTAAGAGTGAAAGTTTATAAACATGTTTAAATATATGTTTGTTTGTACTTATTATTTTTTGTTTGATAAAAATTGGCATACAGGGAGAACATATGTATATAGTACTTGTGTATCTAAATTAATGTGATAAAACCGCAGCAAACAGAAGAACCAAAGTTCTAGACATGTTTTAAATATAACAGGGTTTTGTAAATAAAATGTTATAAAGTAGGTAGGTACTAACCCACATGCATAGTGGCTCCTGCATCATGAACGTCACCACCTCAACAAACTGCTCAGTAAAGTTCCTCGTGCCGTTACCGTAGAAGCTCAGCACATCAGCACCCACAGACGGCACCATCCTTAACGCGTCCACATCAGATTCTACAACCACCCCATCCTGCCGCTGAAGAGTAGAATTTGCCCGCCAGTTTGGATCACTCGTCACACTCATCGCATAGTAAACAGCCACTGATAATAATAAAACACTTCCAGTCGTGTATGCCTTGAGATTCGGCAAGGGCAACCTGTCCAATAGTGTCACAGGCATATTGTACGCTTACAATTTATATACTGAGTAAAACAATAATATAAACGACACTGCAATTTCGAGTTTAATGACATTAGATAGTTTATGAACGCTCACATAACTACGGATAAAAGATTAAACATCTCATTAGGCGCAATTAATAACAAAACACAAATTTATATTTTCCTGATAAAAACAACATAGACAACGATTGATATCACTTGCACAGTGCACACTGTACACAGATCAGTCTTACCAGATTCTATTAGCCTTCATTCGCACGAATGTAATGCATTGAACTATTAAAAGACTGAGACTGTCTAAAGAGCTACCTACATACAATAACATACCCATTATATGTATATAAAGTATGATAAACTATGATATAAACTTCTTGGTGTACTTTGTTTTTTTTTTTTGTGGTTTGCTGTCAAATTTGACTTAGCTGTCATAAGGCTGTCATTTCGTTTTATAGGTATCACCGGGAATCACAACATATATACGACAATACAACCGCTGATTTTATTTTATTTTGTTTGAATAAATAATCGTAATTTTAAAAGAATACAAATAAATGAACTAAAATGTCTGAACGAGATTATGCACCATTGAGCATAGCCTGCGTCCGTGGGCTATGTGACAAAATTTACGATAAGAGAAAATTTGCTGGTGTTGAAATTGAAAAGTATGTGTAATTTATAATTTTTTCTTAGTATCAAATTACCGCTATAAACTTTTGTGATTAATATGTATATATGATGCTATTTGTAGGATGGTAAAAGATTTTAGTGATACGAACAACACAAGTCAGATTAAGCGGTTGATTCGAGTTCTCGGCCAGGACTTGATGTCTTCTACAAACCCCAATGTGAAGAACGGCGCTCTAATGGGACTGTCTTCGGTTGCTGTTGGACTGGGAAAGGTACGTGAATAAGTAAAGTGATAGAGTACTTGATATTAATTATTTTTATTCTCCCTTTTCTGAACTATTTAAGATTCTAACATTTGGAATGTGTATTCTGATAATGCAGGCAGGGTTACCATTTCATCTCACCCACCAAAAAAATTCTTAAATGTTGACTTATAGCATATAATGTTAATAAGATAGTTTTATTTACCTAATTTAATTCTACCTGCAATTTATATCCAAAATGGGAAGTCCTGGAGTATATTTATTTGGAGAAGCATTCAAGGTGGTTGCAACTTTCAGTCTTGATGAATCCACTGAGAACACAACATTAGAAAGAAACATAATTTCTATATTTTTATACAACCTTCTATTTTTTGCTCTTCCAATATATAATACAGTAGAATAATCTTTATTCAAATATACTTGTTTATAGATAATACATGTTTGCTACATAAATGATTCAATTCTACTTACAGGGCTGTGTTAACTATCTACCTGAACTGACCCATCCAATAATAGCTTGCTTTAGTGAAAGTGAGTCCAGAGTACGATATCAAGCTGCCGAAGCTCTATTCAATGTTCTGAAGATAGCACGTGGGGACTCCTTGCCTCAGTTTCCGATTGTGTTTGATGCACTCGCAAGGCTTGCTGCAGACCCAGAGCCTCAAGTTAAGCAAGGGGCTGAGCTTTTGGATAGACTAGTTAAGGTATACCTTATATGAAAACTATAGTTTGCTTGGATTATTCTAAACAGAAAAAAAAAACTTAGTAAAATAGCTAAAAAATCCTTTTGAAATTGCCTATGAAAATTCATATATTCTGAAATAATAGAAAATTTTCCTAACCTTATAAATACTCTATTGATATAAGCTAGTGGAGCATCAGTAAGGATCAAGTCATGATGAATTTACTAAGAATTTAGAACCATAATAGTTTCCAGAGGAACCTTGTGGAGGTGGACCTAATGGACTGGATCTTCCAATCTTCATTTCCAATACATTTATTTCCCTCTATTAGTGTTATTACATCACTATAGTTATTCTGTATATTGCTGACAGTTCTGTTACCTATTCGAAAAGTAAATTATGCAAGTACAATATTGGTGTTAGAGAGAGTATGCTCAGTCACAGGCCACATAGTACTTAACAATATAGCAAGACTACTTGCCTAAGAAAAACTGTCCAACTGTTGGATCAATCTGTTAGTAGCACTGTCAACTCACTCTCTAACCTTATAATAATAATAAACTTTTTATTGCGCACAGTAGAGATGTATACAAGGAGTATTTATACAGAATGTGCATATACAATAGGCGGCCTTATCGCTAAAAGCAATCTCTTACAGGCAACCTTATTTTAGAGACTCAATTTAAAAATAGTGCTTAACATCGTCAAATACGTTGCCCTGTCTGGCCATATTTTTTTTATGGATGATAATGGAATGGTAGCCCCACCCGCGCTATTGGATTACACCGGCGGGGCACCACTGAAGGATGATAGGTGAGGATGAAGTAGGTCAGTTAGCTCATCGTGACGAATTCAACGAGAATTGTGCACGATGATTTCCAGGGGGAACCACATGGAGGTCGACCATTAGGTATAACTTATTAAAGTTATATTGCTAGCAATGGGGCCGTCAAACTCCACTGCTAACAATCCCTTTCCCCCCTGTCTGGCCATATAGGCGTGATAAATATATTGTAATGAGTATAAATGTGCAGGACATAGTGACAGAGTCATCGTCGTTCGACCTGGCGGCGTTTGTACCAATGTTGCGCGAGCGCATCTATACACGGAATGCATTCGGGCGCCAGTTCATCGTGTCGTGGGTGTCAGTGTTAGACGCGGTACCCGATATTGACCTCATTGTGCACCTGCCTGAGCTGCTCGATGGACTGTTCAAGATGCTTGACGACGCCAACTCGGAAATCAGGAGGATGTGAGTGCACACATAGCAATAGTATAATTATTCATTCAAGGACTCAATTTGTTTTTTTTTTTCAATTGTATACTTTTTCTATGTTACACAATTATCGAGTTCTGAGTTCAAAAATTCTTACCAGTATAAACAGTTTTTGATGTGCCAAACACTAGGTATAATGTTTTGTGTATTTAACAATTCCATTTTAAGAATGTGCCGGTCTTATAATAATGTTCAGCGTGGTGGTGCTCATCAGGATGGTGAAAAGCTTGATATATTTGGTCAGAAGTTCAGTAATTTTCGTCACGACGTTTATTTTCCTCTGTAATTAGTAGATAGTTTCTTTTGTTGTAACATATATATGAACGTTTATAATCTAAATAAAAATATATCTAAATAAAAAAAACAGTAGTATAACTCTCGAATCCAACATCGATATCAATCTAATCTATTGTCAATGATAATTTTATACTGCACTCATGAAACAAAATAGTTTATGTTATCCATATTATATTGATTGTTTAATGTTTATATATTTTTCATATTAAATTGCAGGTGTGACGTGCAACTGAGTGAATTTCTAAGAAGTATAAAGAAGGACCCGTCGCGTGTTGATTTCCAAGCGATGATCAACATTCTCATTACGCACGCGCAGTCGCCGGAGGAGTTATTGCAGGTCAGCTCATATCAAATTGTATCATTATTAGTTGTACCTGTGATTGACATGTAGGGACATGTAATGTAGACATATTAATTGACTTACTTCCCCAAAATCTTGAAAACTAGTAGTGATCTAATTTCTTGATTACTAAGGAAATAACTTGGATCAACAAACTAAATGCGACTTAATAATGACATAATTAAGTCGCATTTAGTTAATAATAAATATATAATTATTATATATAATTAAGTAATATATATATATATATATATATATATATATATATATATATATATATATATATATATATATATATATATATATATCAATTGTAAATGTCAATAAAATGTTGTCTGTGAAAAAATCTTCCCAAATTTTATTTATACAGAGAGCCAATAAAAAAATCACGTCAACTTTTTTCTTAAAATAAGTATGTTTATTTGAATGCTCCAATAGCAAATTATGTATATGTAAAATCTTACAAAGAAATATATCTTAACAAAATCTCTTTGAGGAAGTAGCACCTCGCATTTTTAACTGATTCTTTAAATGATAGTAATTACTAGTGGCAGTGTGATAATGATGTGTTGGGTGGTGATGGCGGTGCATGTGTGGTTGCAGCTGACGGCCATCACGTGGATCAAGGAGTTCGTGGAGCTCGCGGGCGGCGGAATGTTGCCGTACGCGTCGGGCGTGCTGGCCGCCGTGCTGCCCTGCCTCGCCTACTGCGACGATCCGCGCAAGAGTATCCTTTGCACCACATGCAGTACCGCTGCGCTACTCATACTGCACGGTGGTCACGTTTGTACTTTCGATGACGGGATATGGCTGTGAAGTTGCAGGGCATGGAGGCATACCACCTTAGTCCTAAGGAGTGGTAATGCATGGTGGATACCATGAGCAGAAATTACAGAGTACTCTGTAATTTCCAGTGTTGTTCGTGGCTATAGGCGATAGTCACTATTTTCCCTAAGATGGGATATAAGCTGGCTTGCCATTCCATGTTCCATAAAATACTTTATATGAAAATTAATAAATAAGTTACAATTTGTATTGTTTATCACAAGCTGGATGAGAAAAGAAAAAAGCTAATATCCACAAAAATAAAAATTATCATCATCATCATCATCATCATATCAGCCTTTAACTGTCCACTGTTGAACATAAGTCTCCCTGGAGAAATTTTGCCAGTAGTTGCCACGCTTAGCAGGCGAATTGGCAATCGCAGTAAGGCTTTAGAGATGTTTTAAGAGGGACGCTGCTGCCCATCCCTCGCTCTCCTTAGTCGCCTCTTACGACACCCACGGGAAAAGAAGGGGTGACCTATTCTATGCCGGAACCATACGCCTTTATATGGCTAAATAAAAATTATAACGAGTTATCGCATTTATTAAGAACTATTTAAAGGATAAAGCTTTTTTTAAACATTGACATTGTAGTATTTTTTTGTTTATATTCTTTATGGCAGTCCATGGGGAAGACCTATGTTCAACAGTGGACGGATAACGGCTGAGATGATGTAGATTCTTATTATACTTTTTGAAACCCCGATAAGTGTAGTATGATCCTGTCTTGTATTTTTTTATCTTTTAACTCTTTAACGAACAAGTTCAGACATCCGAGAAACTGCAGCCACAGTTAACTTTCAATTAACAAAGCTGGTTGTATCCGAGGGCACCGACCCACAAGCTGCGGATGGGGACAAACCGCAATCAGAAAGGGACAGAGTTGTGGAGGGCGAGGGCGATACAGAAGACGAGAGGAAGGGCGAGGGGGAGGGCCGACTAGATCTGCCCGCAGTGGTGGGCGTGCTGACGCAGATGCTGCACCACAGCTCCGTGCACACCAAGGTGGCGGCCCTGGACTGGATACTGCACCTGTACAATAAGTTGCCGAACGAGATGTTCGCGGCGACGGGCGCGGTGTTCGTGGGCGTGGTGGGCAGCCTCACGGACGCGGCCGACGACGTGGTGCGGCGCGCGCTGGCCGTGCTGGCCGAGATCTGCTCGTGCCCCGCCGCGCACGCAGGTACCACCGCCTCCGCTGCTAACGTACCCTAGCAGCTCCACCTCCCCGTGATACCCCCTGACGTGAAAGAAGGGATTGCTAGCAATGGAGAGGTTGCTATCAATATACCCTATCCGGTCGATCTCCACGCGGTCCTACCTGGAAACTTAACTTTTGTGACTAATTTATCATTCAATCATATCCCGATATGCTAACTGACCTGCTCTTTCATTCTCACTGTCGCTCTATCTGTGTATACCGATATCGCAGACGGAGTAACCATTACATTATCGTCCATTAAATTTTTTTTTTTATACTACTTAGAATGGCAAACAAGCTGACGGCCCACCTGATGGAAAGTGGTAACCGTCGCCTATAGACATGAGCGGTACCATGAACATAACAGAGTATACTGTTTCGCCCATGATATCCCCCATGCGTTGCCATTCCTGAGGACTCAGGTGTTATTCCTCTGTACCCTGTAAATTCACGCCATATCGCACCCTTCAAATCGAAACACAGCCATGCAAACACAACTGCTTCACGGTTGAAACACGAATAGGACAGAGGTACCCAAGCAATAGACTTTTGTACAAAGTCTCCCTCTGGTAAAATTATCACCAACATATACATTATTGAAGTCACTATACTCTTTTGTAGAAAAAAAAAAACTGTTTGCCTTCAGGTGATTTGGAGTCTAGTCCATACTACTACAAGTTCCTACAAGCCTTGCTGAGGCTACTCGCGGCCGACGATAATTTATTGGAAGATAGAGGAGCGTTTATTATTAGGTGAGTTAATATTCAATGTTAAAAAAACTTAAAATAACATATTCTAATAATTGTTTCTTACTTATTTTTTGAAGATCTGTTTGCCATTTGGCAAAGGCCTCCTCCACTCTCGCCTGTCTTGAAAAAAAAATTTGTTTTTAATGTACTAAGTTGATCTGAATAAAGGCCATATTATTATAATATTAAATGTTTCTATTAAGAAGTTTTGAAGTTACTGTACAGTGCCGTATGAGCCCTGTCTGTCTAAACAAGTGGTGAACCAATCTATCATTGATACATTTTCTTTAGTGCTCGCTTGTGAAAAACAAAACACCCTGTATTACTGTCTCGTTCTATCTCATGCATGCGATAACGGTATTGTATATATTAACAGATACTCTGAACGGCATACTGTTAGCCGGATCTCTGTCGCCTCACTGCACTATGGTTATAACAAAATTAATTCTAACAATAAGCTACCTTCAATACATTGCAATTCCTGAAGACTATGGTGTATATATATTTCTTTGTGTTAATTTCTTACAATATCTGTAATGGTGTATAAAAATCAGCTCTGTACTGTTCTTCCCCTATTACAGAAATTTGAGTATTTTTTGGTAACAGAAGGGAGGGGGAGAGTTGAAGCAGATTCCAGGTCTGTGCTGCCGTGTCCCAGACAGCTATGCCTCCTGAGACAGGGTGTAAAAGTAATTTTTGCACTGTAATATTCAATTCTATAACATCGATATTTTTGGCTCACGGTATCGAGTGGCCGTGTGGTCCCGGCATAGAATAGGCCACCACTTCCTTTCCGGTAGGTGTCGTAAGAGGCAATTAAGAGAGGGCGAGGGATGGGCAGCAGCGTCCCTCTTAAAACATCTCTAAAGCCTGACTGCGGTTGCCAATCCGCCTGCCAAGCGTGGCAACTACTGGTAAAACCCCTCAAGGGGAAGGCTTATGTTCAGCAGTGAATGGTTAAGGGCTCTAAATGACGATGATGATAATATCGAGTTCCCTTATAGAGAGTATCATGATGTAAGGTGTGTGGTGTGTGGCAGGCAGCTGTGCGTGCTGCTGAACGCGGAGGACATCTACAGGGCGGTGTCACGCTGCCTGCTGCAGGAGCGCAACCTGCGCTTCGTGGCCACCATGGTGGACGTGCTCAACACCATCCTGCTCACCGCCGCCGAGCTCTACGACCTGCGCCTGCAGCTACGTTCCTTCGACAAGCCGGTACGTACCGCACACACATTTTATACATTCGGACAAACCGCATCAATTTACTAAGCTGTCTGTCACCAGATGTCTTCATGGCTGGGTTTTTTTTTAATGGATCATAATGGAATGGTAACCCCGCTTGCGCTATCGGTATACACTGGCGGGGTACCAGTGAAGGATGATAGGTGAGGATGAAGCAGGTCAGGTAGCCTACCGTGATGAATCTAACAATAAATCAATCACGATGGTTTTCAGGGTGAACTACTAGGAGGTCGACCTGACAGGGTATATTGTTAGTAATGGGGCTACTAATGCCCATTAGTAACAATCCCGTTCCCCGTCATAGCTTGGTTTTAATAAGCATAACGTAATCCCCATCTTAAAAAAAGTTTCAATTTGACACAAAAATCCCCATTAACAAAATGATCCGCCATTTATTGAATTCATTTGTTACAAAAAATATGATAAATGAAGAACCTCTCGACGGACTATGTGCAAACTTCACATAAACCATCTACTAAATAGTCCGAACAAAGCCTAAACATTTGCTTTGGATAGGTGAGCCCGTTCTTGAGTTATAAAATTACAATGAAAAGTGGCATTAATTTTTATATATACAGATAAGCAAGACAACTGATAAATGTAACGATACAGTGGTTAATTCTTGTCGAATTCTTCACGATGGGCCGGCTGAATTGCCTATCATCCCTCACTGGTGCCTCGCCAGCGTACACCAGTAGCGCAGGCGGGGTTATCACTTCATTAAAAAAAAAATTATTCTGTGTATTCTGTGATGTTCATGGCACTATTGGATACATGGAATGTATATCGAGCTCGTTTGCCTCCCGGCACTTGTGCCGCGTTGCGTTGTGCACCGCGCAGGCGACGCACGCGCTGTTCGAGGGGCTGTACGCGTGCTGGTGCCACAGCCCCGTGTCGCTGCTGGCGCTGTGCCTGCTCACGCACAACTACGCGCACTGCAACGCGCTCATAGCCACCTTGTATCCTTTCTACTCTCGCGCACCTGCTAGCTTTCATTCATGTCTCGCCTCAACATTTTTGTCTTAATTTCCTTATTTATATTTATTTATTTATAATATATATATATATATATATATATATATATATATATATATATATATATATATATATATATATATATACATATTATAGGAAGATGATGATGATATATATACATATTTTTGGTGAGTATTACAGATTAAACAATGCTTGTCAAACACCAAAAATACAACATTATAATAATAATGGAATAATAACAAAAATTCTAATTATATTAAACAAAATGCAATTCTGTGTAATTTGTTATCTGTTACAATACAGTGAAAAAAGTCCATTTCGGAACTCGCTACTACTTTATTTAGTACATAAGATAATTTTTATTTGTTATTAATTATAATTAAGTTGAGAGTCAGTTATAACTAAGTAACAAAATATTCCAGACAGTAAGGGACAATCTCTTAAGAATATTTTCCTGTAACGTCAACAATTAAAGTGTCCACCAGTATTATTATTTTTTTATTTTTATGCAACTTAGAATGGCAAACAAGCTGACGGCCCACCTGATGGAAAGTGGTAACCGTCGCCTATAGACACGAGCAGTACCATGGACACAACAGAGTATACTGTTTCGCCCATGATACCCCCCATGCGTTGCTATTCCTGAGGACTCAGGTGTTATTCCTCTGTACCCAGTAAATTTACAATATAAATGTTTGATGTGAATATAGTGGGTCTGTCTCCTTAATACACAAATTCAGCGGTGATTTGGAGATCACTGTGGACTTTCTGACTGAAGTGGACAAGCTGGTACAGCTCATCGAGTCGCCGATATTCGCATGTGAGTGATTATGTTTTTGTAGATTTGTACTTTTATTTTCTAAGAAAACATTGTAATTATTTCCTAGAGAATCCCGTTTTCTCCCACGAACACTCAGGTTATGGAATGAGCTCTCTGCCGAGGTTTTCCCAAGAGACTACAGCATGGGGTTTGTCTCCATTACTAACAATTCCTTTCCCCCCTACTGATACTGGTTAGACCTCAGTATCAACCATTAGTAGTGGGCTGCACCGCGTACGATTTTTTTTAAGTGGATGATAATGGAATGGTAACACCCCACCCGCGCTATCGGTATGCACCGGCGGGGCACCAGTGAAGCATGATAGGTGAGGATGAAGCAGGCCAGTTAGCCCATCGTGACCAATTCAACAAGAATTGTTCACGATGGTTTCCAGGGGGAACCACGTGGAGATCGACCTAATAGGGCATATTGCTAGCAATGGGGCTGTCAAACTCCATTGCTAACAATTCTTTTCCCCCTCGCACCGCGTACCGGTGGTGGTGGTGGAAGTAGTAAGACATTAACCGCGTACGGTTGCGCCGCGTGGTGTGGTCGGCGGACGGCGCGTGCAGACATGAGGCTGGAGCTGCTGGGCGCGGGCGGCGGCGAGCTGCGCGGCGCGCTGTACGGGCTGCTGATGCTGCTGCCGCAGACCGACGCCTTCCACGCGCTGCGCAACCGCCTGCAGTGTGCGCCGCCACCAGCACCGGCACCGGTAGCAGCAGCCGCCCCGCCCGCCGCGGCCGCGCCGCCCGTCGACTTCGAGCGGCTGCTGCGCGAGTTCGAGCGCGTGCAGGCGGCGCACCGCCAGTACCGGCTGCTGGACCGCGGCCGCGGCAAGCTGCACGACGCCGCGCTCGCGCTGCGCTACTCCTAGTGCCGCCGGCACCGCCTCGCACCACACCACACCACACCACACCACACCACACCACACCACACCACACCACACCACGCCACGCCTGCCATATTGAACGAACAAATACAATAAAAATAAATCATACTGATTTGTATACAAGTCAATTATATGAGCATTTTTTAATAATATTTCTTATAAAACTACCGGCCAGTTTCAAATGCAATATTAATTGTAAAGAACAGTCATGTTTTTATGATTCGGTTATATAAAAATACGCCAAAAAATAATGTTAAATACAGTGCAATTGGTACAAAACCCAATTTGGACAGGAAGACAAGCCGAGACTGTTTATTAAATAAACCAAGTATATAAAAAAATATGCTTATACTATTCTTTATCAACTCGATAAGTATGTTTTTTATATTTTTGTAAATACAATCAACTATTAGATAAGTCTATAGTTAACTTTATTATATTTATTAGATAAATAATAATGTTATTATTAATTAGTAAAATATGTATAAAATATGTATAAAAAATAAAATAAAACATTTTGTTTATATATACTTCATTCTCTAAACTTTTTAATTTAATCGACTCATTTCTTACTATTGCTATTTTGAGTTTAGTATAAATTATTTTAAATACATAATCTTCGAAAAGACTGCTCGAGCTGTCAGACCAAGACGCCGCTCACTTCAGTCCTGTCTTGACCACAACGTAGTGCAATCCACGTCGAAACGTCGGCAGTAAAGAAGCAGGTATGTAGGTACTATTCACCTGTAAAAGCTTTCACATCGCGTTAACTCCCGATTGTGTATTTAAAATATGTGTAAACAACGCGATAGTTTAAAATCAACTATTTTAATACAGTCACACCTTGGTTCACCAAAAGATATAAACAAAACAAGTAGTTTGACGAGTCTTTTTTTTATTTCATCACAAAACTTTTTGCTCTAAGGAAAAATATATAAATTTTGATTTATTTTTTTTATACAACTTAGAATGGCGAACAAGCTGACGGCCCACCTGATGGAAAGTGGTAACCGTCGCCTATAGACATGAGCAGTACCATGGACATAACAGAGTATACTGTTTCGCCCATAATACCCGCCATGCGTTACCATTCCTGAGGACTCAGGTGTTATTTTTCTGTACCGTATAAATTCACGCCATATCCCACTCTTCAAACCGAAACACAGCCATGCAAACACAAGTGAAGCAGTCACGGTAGAAATATTATGTGATAGTCGTGTGCTTTTATAGTGTGTGGGCGGAAAATGAGCTTGGTGAACAGAACTGTTGCTCCCTAACAGGTCGACCTCCCCGTGGTCCCCCCTGGAAACCATCGTGCTGAATTCCAAGTGTATTCATCGCGATGGGCTAACTGACCTGCCTTTTCATCCTCATCTGTCACCCCTCACTGTTGCTCCGCCAGCGTATACCGTTAGCGCAGGCGGGGTTACCATACCATTTACACCCATCAAAAAAAAAAAACAGAACTGTTGCTTTCGACCTGCTTATAGTAGAAACGGTTATAAAATCTCCATGAGAAAGAAATAGGCTATACTGTATTTCACACAATGTGCTCGGTAAGGTAAAAAAAACCAAATGTTACATTTATCACATTTTGTTAATTTTAACTTTCAAAAATCAATACTCATCATCATATCGGCCTTTAACTGTCCACTGCTGAACATAAGCCTCCCCCTTGTGGGGATTTACCAGTAGTTGCTACGCTTGGCAACCGCAGTCAGGCTTTAGAGACGTTTTAAGAGGGACGCCGCTGCCTATCCCTCGCCCTCTCTTAATTGCCTCTTACGACACCCACGCGAAAGGAAGCGATGGCTTATTCTATGCCGGGACCAAACGGTCATTAATCAATAATCAATAAAAAAAATAAGCACTGTTGAAAATGAAATTTTAAACCCAATCCCTATATAATTATTGTGCAAATTGGATTGTATACATAATTAGATTAAAACAAATACTGTCGCTTGTGTACCCGTCTCGTCTGACTAGAATGGATATTCGCAGAAGAAACAAAGTAACCGACATAGACCAAAGGATAGCAAGCTGAAGTGGCAGTTGGCTGCTCAATAGAACCGATAACCGATGAGAAAGAAAGGTTCTTGAATGACGACCTTGTATAGGCAAACGCAGTGAAGAACGACCCCCCCCCCTCCACTGTATGGAGTGACGACGTTAAATGTATGTGGGACATAAAAAGTACACTTTATAACTAACAAAGCCTCACATTCCGTCTACGTGCCTGATGTCGCTATGAATGTAAACACAAATTTCGTAAGTTCCAAAATATAATTATCAATTCTAACCACATCAATAAGGGGGAAAGGAATTGTTAGTAATGGAGACTGAGAATCCCATTGCTAGCAATATACCCAACCAGGTCGACCTACTCGCTGTTCCCCCTGGAAACTATCATGGTTAATTCCTGATGAATTCATCATGATGAGCTAACTGGCCTGTTTTCATTCTCATCTATTACCCTTCACTGGTGCTCCGCCAGCGTATCCCGTTAGCGTAGGGGGGTTACCATACCATTTTCACCCATCAAAAAAAAATTGACACTAATGTAAAATTTGTAAAATCAGTATTATGAATGAATGAATGAATGAGTATACTTTATTTCCATTATACAATTTAGGGGACAAGCAACACAATAAATATAACGATGCAATGGTATAAGTACAGTAAGGCGGTCTTATTGCTGAGAGCAATCTTTTCAAGACAACCTTAAGGTAATGAACTAATTGTTGTACAAGTAGGTATTGTATGTATTAATTGTATCTACCACTGTATCTATTCAAATTACATGTAAACGACATGTGAATCTGATCGCTTTTAACCGACTTTAAACAGAAGGTAGTTCTCAACTCGATCGTGTGTTTGTTTTTGTTGGTTACCTCATAACTCGCATCAGTTCTAGACCGATTTGGAAACATCTTCTTTTTTTTTTGTCTAAAAAGATATACTTACAAAGTGGTTTTATACATTTTATTTCAAAATCTGTTTAGTAGTTCAGTTTTTTTAGTGAAATAACTGGTTTTGTCACAATTGAAGTCTGTTTTTTGTACGATACAAATTTTAATTATATCCTTGTATATTATTGTATGAAAACATTGTATTTATTGTACGTTATTGTAAGATTAGAACTAAGTACCTACAAGGAATTACATAGAAGGAGTGATAAAATTGTCAATTCATAGCAGCCTAGTGTATAGAAAATGTTATACGGCCGTATAACCCTACCAAATTCAGATACAATCTGCTTGCATACTTTCTACATAAACTGTGTCCAATATATAATCTAGTAATGTAAAATTTGTTATTGTCAAATATTTGACACATCAAACATTTTCTATACACTAGCAGCAGGCTATGAATTGAGAAAAATAGCGACTGATGGTGTATCTTTTAAACTCTTGATATTTATATGTGCATAAGAAGAAAGGAGGCAACCATATTGCTATTGATTAGATGCTGTTTCTAAATTTAAGTTGGTTATATCAGCCCGGTATATCTAACACTGTGTTGATTTCCAAAGACGGCAGACTTAAGTAGACATAATATGTCGTTATACCGATTTCTATCTAAGGCTTATAAATTTGTATGTGTATATATATATATATATATATATACACAAATAAAAGAACATAGCTGTATAAAGATATATTGTATACTGTTTTTATACATTCCAATCGGTTACAACTAGAGACCGCAAATAGATTGAACGATGTATGCCTTTGTTTTTGGAATGTTTGAAGTATTAATCCATTTTTTTTAAATCGACAAAGAAGTTTGTAGGAAATCGCGAACAGATGGAGTGATACGGCTACATATGTAACACGGTTTAGATTTGGCGTGTGTTGGCGAGGTATGTGACATTTTTCCATAATGGTATTTCCATTGCTTCGAGCGCAGTCGTGTCAATGATGCTAACTTTTAGGATTATGGATGTATATATGAACGTTCGTTGTGTATATAAAAATATTTTGTTTCCGACATAAATCGTTCAATCTTATTGCTGTTGCTCTAACAACTATATATTACATGTACAATTTATTTATATTTTATTGGAACAATAATATAATTACATACGATAAATTATTGCTGTCTTTTATTTAAATACAAAATGTCTCCTTATATACAGGGTGAGCACCTTTAGTGTTTTTTATTTTTTACAAATACTTTTCCGCTCGGTTGGCAAGTACAATATTATATTTGTAGTTTTCTATCGTCTATTTTTGAGCAGAGAGGCTAGGAGTGACAGAAAAAATTAGTGTCAACAAGTGTTCAGTTGCCGTGGTGTCGGAAACATACTCTGTGATTATTTATTTTTTTAATTGTACTACTTATTACTATTTATTTTTCTATCGAGTCCCTCGAGAGGTAGGCAGAGATAACGGAACGTCAAATGTCTTTATCCTTGCACGCATCTCGTGCCTCGTTCACTCTCACTACGCACGCAAGTACTGTGGTTTCGGGGGCTCTTGACGTCTTCAGATAGATACTGGTCGCTAAATATATTTAGTACAAATAAAATGCAGTAGCGTGTAGGTGTAGGTGTAGGTGTAGGTGTACGCGCGCGCGCGTGCTAGGGCTGCAGGTCGCGCGCGGCGGCGGCGGCGGCGGCGGCGGCCAGGCGCGCGGCCAGCGCCGAGTTGGCCGCCACGGCCGCCGCCACCTCCTGCTGCGCCGCCAGCAGCGCGCGCACGCCCGCGCCCGCCGCGCCCACGCCGCCACCACCGCCGCCACCACCGCCGCCACCCGCACTCACCGCGCCGCACCGGCAGCACGCGCCCGCCCGCGCCGCCGCCGCCGCCGCCTCCGCCGCCGCGCCGCCCGCCTCCGCCTGCTGCCGCCGCAACATATACATCGACACTCGCTTACGGAATGCTCACCGATGGGCGATACCAAAATCGACATTTCAAGTAAATTAATAATTACATTTCACTATCGTTACTCGTGTAAAAATGTTACTCGTTGATTGATATTAACAATCTTCGCATCAAGCGAAGACAGCTCAGAGTTTCATGTTACACGAAAGCTCACCAGACAATAACTTTATATACCCGTAGAAATGGAAAATGTTTTAAATTTATTTATACAGATATACTCTTTTCTTTCCCGTGGGTGAGTACCTTAAGTAAGAAACTAAAAGAACCTAATAATCGAGAGATAGGCCATAGCATCCTTTTTAACCCCTCGAGCATATATACAACATACGCTGCACCACACAAAAACGTGGTACCGCACGCTAAAGTAGCAGCGTCTGTTGCAATAACTCGATTTTGCAATGTCGTTTTCATTAAATTTATGTAGGTAATAAACCCATTTATCCATAACCTCTGATTGAAATTTGGTAATTTAAAAAATCAGTAACGTAGTGAGTGTAGCAAGCCAGCCTAGAACCGATCGCTCCATGAGTTAAAACATCACCAAAAGCTTGGCTACGATTACCAACCCATGTGGTAACTATTGTCAAAGGCACGTCTATATAATGCTATTATAAATCGACACAACTCAGAACAGTGCACATTTATTGTGTTAAAAATAGAGATCATTTAAATTCTGATCAGTCTGAATAGACACTAAGAAATACACACAAATATCAGGCGAAATGAGAACGGAATATAAAAAGGATAAATAGGCTCGAAGGTGGAGAAGTGTACCTTGTGCAGCGCGAGCTGTGCGCGGGCGGTACGCTCGGCGTCCTGCAGCCGCGCGGCCAGCGCCAGCAGCTTCAGCTCCGCGCTCGCCGCGTCCTTGTCCAGGATCTGCGTCTGCAGGTACACCGTCTGCGCCACCTTGTACCTGCGCACCGCCGCCGCTCGTTACCACACACGTCTTCTACTCGTGCCATCTTATTCATTTTGTTATATTATCGTTTGTCATTCACATTTACGAGTATCAATGTCGTTATTTTTAGTATTCTTTTTTATACAACTTAGAATGGCAAACAAGCTGACGGCCCACCTGATGGAAAGTGGTAACCGTCGCCTATAGACATGAGCAGTATATATAATAAGCCTTAGTTTTTCTGTTACAAATATTTAACTAAATAAATATTTGCATAAACAGATTACCACCATTACAGTTCTTGATGAAATATATTGATCCCTCGAGTCGGATAGTAGTTATAATATGCTTACTTGTGTTGAATTTTATATTTTTTATGTACTCTGTGTAATAGTTCGAAAACAATACTGAAAGATTGTGCCGGCACCGACCAGTCGGCGACGGCGTCGGCGCGGGCGCGCGCGAGCGGCGCGGCGCGCTGCAGCAGCGCGCGCGCGCGGCGGCCGGTCTCGGCGACGGTGATGCGCTCGAGCACGTGGAACTGCTCGTCGTTGTAGGTGAGCGAGCGCGTGGCGCGGTCGCGCACCAGGTGCTGCCACGAGTCGCGCAGCCGCTCCACCAGCGCGCGCGCGCGCGCCGCCAGCCGCAGCGCCGCCGGGCACGCCGCCGCCGCCGCCGCCGCCGCCGCCTCCCAGTCGCCGCGCACGCCGCCCGCCGCGTGCCGCGCGCGCAGCGCCGCCGCCGCCGCGCGCAGCGCCTCCGCCTCGCCGGCCAGCAGCGCGGCGGCCGACACTGGCCCGGCAGCCGCGCCGCGCGCCGCCAGCTCGAGCGCGCGCGCCGCGTCGTGCAGGCGCTGCGCGTGCGCCGCCAGCGCGTCCGTGCGCGCCGCCGTCGCGTCGAGCCGCCGCGCCAGCAGCGCCCCCCAGCGCCGCACGCACGCGCCCATCAGCGCCGACGCGCCGCACAGCGCCTCCACGCGCCGCTTGATCACGTGGCCCACGCTGCACGCCGTCTGCACACGTACATATACACGCTCCTTCACACCGGATATAGAGCGCGATAAAACATATCGCTCAATTATTATTAACACTTTTCACTTTCAACATATACCGACATTTACTCTGTCAGGTTGACTTCCTCGCGATCCCTCGTAGAAAAAAAACATTGTGGTTCATTTCAAGTGAATTAATGGACCAGACTACCTGACGTCATTCCTCACTAAAACCATTCCATTTTCATCGTTTAAAAAATTACCTTAGCCTGACTAGCGTCGTTCTCCACGGACACTATATTAGGAAATACAGGGAACTTGGGTATCTCCGGCTCCGGCGGCATGCTCACGTTGTTGTTGTTCTTGTTGAACAGCAGCAGCGGCTCCTCGGCCGTCGTGTCCGGGTAGTTCTTGCCTGTAACATTACAGTTGTTTTCATCAACAATCAAAATAGATTTGGATTTCAAAACTAAGCATTTAAACTGAAAACCAATAAAAATAGTATACGTCCAAACATCTAAATAGAAAATTTTCACATCCACAAGGAAACGCCAAAACATATTGCAGTTTACTAGTCGGTCACGCAGAAGACTAGAAACTCAGTCGCTTGACCGCCAACAAATGCTCGCACTTGCATCTGTTTGATCGTCGACGCGCTGAATTCTCTGCGAAAGATTGGCTAGGCCACATTATCGTGGCATAATAGTTCGCGTTGTCCGTTCACGTTAGTAGACAATTCATACGAGAAGATGATACGCTGTAGGTGGAGGGAAAGGGATTGTTAGCAATGAAGCTTGACAGTCCCATTGTTAGCAATATGCCCTATTAAGTCGACCTCCACGTGGTTCCCCCTGGAAACCATCGTGAACAATTCTAGTTGAATTCGTCACGATGGGCTAACTGACCTTCATCCTCACCTATCATCCTTCACTGGTACCCCGCCGGTTGTATACCGATAGCGCAGGTGGGGTTACCATTCCATTATCATCCAATGAGATAAGCTGCATGTGGCGGTAAGCTTGCAATATTGGTAATAATCAGTAATTGTTATTTACCCAGCGTGTTTTCATCTATCTCGGAGGTGAGCAGCGTGTCCTTGTAGAGCAGTATCTGCGTCTCGGCAACGACGCTCGTCTGCTCGCAGATGTACGTCTGCAGGTGTTCGTACTTCTCCTCCGGCTTTAGGAACACCTGCGACCAGAAATATTTACGTTATACTATTCTCATAATCAATATCCAATACCAACAATGAAAGTTTAAAAGTATTCATACTTCTTTGATGGTTCATCATTGAACATGTGATTTCAACTTTTTATTTTGTATAACTGCCTACCTATAATGTTGTTACTCTAAGTTTAATTCAGTTGATTGTAAGTACTAGGGATGTCACGTGTATTTAGTTAAATCTTGTTTTTACTTATGATTGTGATCGGTTTTTTGGAGGGAAAGGGATTGTTAGTAATGGAGACTGAGAATCCCATTGCTAGTAATATACCTAACCAGGTCGACCTCCTCGCGGTTCCCCCTGGAAACTATCATGGTTAATTCCTGATGAATTCATCATGATGGGCTAACTGGCCTGTTTTCATTCTCATCTATCTACCTTCACTAGTGCTTCGCCAGCGTATCCCGTTAGCGCAGGGGGAGTTACAATACCATTTTCATCTATCAAAAAAAAAATAGGTCTTTTTGTCTTTACTGTTTTTTTTTTTATTATAAAATTGTCTAACTTATCGTCAACTAAAACCAACGATCAAATGCCAACAATGATAAATAACTTAATCCAATATTATTCATATATATGAAATTGGATTAATTTCACAATTATAAAATAAATAAATATAAATAATAAAGTGCCTAGCCCAGTGTTGTCTGATGCCATTCCCAGGATACAAGCAATGTTTCACAAGTCATCTCTAAGAGTATATATACGAGTTCTTTTTTAAAGGAACCCAGATCCCTTCTCAAACTATACAGAGACAAGTACAACAGTAATTTGCCCTTAGGGTTATGGCGTAAGTATTTATTATTATGGTTTTATTTCAGCAAAAGATTTTAAATTTTTCCTAACACACATTATATTTTCATAAATGTATTGACTGGTAACTGTGAGGACATTTGACCCCTTAAAATGTTTAACTAAACATCTAACGTCACACGTTACCAGAGGGAGACTTTGTACAAAAGTCGATTGCTTGGGCACCTCTGTCCCATTCGTGTTTCAACCGTGAAGCAGTTGTTTGCATGGCTGTGTTTCGATTTGAAGGGTGGAATATGGCGTGAATTTACAGGGTACAGAGGAATAACACCTGAGTCCTCAGGAATGGCAACGCATTGGGGGTATCATGGGCGAAATAGTATACTCAGTTATGTTCATGGTACTGCTCATGTCTATAGGCGACGATTACCACTTTCCATCAGGTGGTATAAAAAAAAAACTTATACAAATTTCTCAAATAGAAAATTTCATAAAAAAGTATAATATTTATAATAATAAATAGGCAAAAACAAATTGAATGCAAAGCGAACCTATATTAACCACCTGTAACTATTTTTTGCTGGATTAACCTTGGCTTTTAAAAATCTTCACGTATTTTAAGTCCGACAATTACATTGCGTGCAACTAACTGTTGTTTCTCGTTACTTATCCATGTGTCTTTTATTTAATGTGTTAGTAGATATATAATTACAAACAAGTGGTAATGTGCTTTATTACAGGCGTAATATTTGAGATTTTGCAAAAAAAAAAAGTATTCTCATTACACTATTACGTTATGTCCATGGTACTGCTCATGTGTATAGGCGACGGTTACCACTTTCCATCAGGTGGGCCGTCAGCTTGTTTGCCATTCTAAGTTGCACAACAAAAAAAGGACAGTCTTATTTTAAAATAAATAATATATATTGATGAATGACGAGATTTTTCATGAAAACGTTAGATATAAAATATTATAATTTAGAACGTGGAATATAAGTAGATACATTTTGGAATGAAACGCAAAGAGAAACGGCGATTTCAATAGCCACAAAATTAACATGGGAGTAAACCTTATCGATTTGTAAAAGAACTATTAAAATCGATTCAGAAAAAATACAAACGAATTGGAAGCATTTCCCATTTTGAAGTGGCTTAAAAAATAAGCAGCGAAGTGCAGTAGCTACAAACGATATCTAACTGTATGTAATATATGGGGGGGGGGGGGGAGATGGGATCGGTAGTAATGGGAATTAACAATCCCTCTGTTAGCAATATACCCTATCAGGTCGCCTACCACGCGGTTCCCCCTGGAAACTATTATGATTGATTTATTGTTCAATTAGTCCCCATAGACCAACTGATCTGCATCCTCACCTATCGTCCCTCACTGGTGCCCCGCCAGTGTATTCCAATAGTGCGGGCGGGGTTACCATTTCATTATTTATTTATTTATTCCTGAGTGAACTTATTGGAAGATTGTAAAGCTCATCCAGTTGATGAAATAAATAAATTATCATCCATTAAAAAAATATATATATATAACGATTTACAGTGTAAATAATATTTATTTATTAATTAAAGTTTATATATTAATAAGATATGTAACTAGAAGAGGGCCTAAGACTTCACGACACAGGGAATCCTAGTGTGAAGTCTTGGGAACAAATGTAAAATTGTGACATGTATTTTTGGATTTAAAATTTTTTTTATACCACTGACGTGGCAAACAAGCATACGGTCCACCTGATGGTAAGCGGTTACCGTAGCCTATGAACACTTGCAATACCAGGGGTATTATTATTATTATATCAATCTACGGAATAACCGAATTAAACGGTCATCGCGTAAGACAATGTAAACGGCGCGGCCTATTGTTACTATACTCGTATGTAGGTCGCCGCCGTAACGAGGTTTCGCAGTGCGCCCGACAGCCGTAACATTCGTAATTAGACACGTTCCATGCCCACGCTGGAACACTTTCGATTTCCCTACACTACTTTTAGTGGCTGATTCTAGGTCTAATACAAAGAGAAGGGTGATGTGTAAAGAGAGATATGGCAGTGAAATTACTGGACACTACCAATATTGAAAGCCAATATTAATAATGGGTATGACTTTTACACGGTTCTCCCTGGAAACCATCGTGATTAATTATTGTCAAATTCATCGCGATGGGCCAACTGACCTAACTTCATCCTCACCTAGCATCCCATACTGGTACCCCGCCAGTGTTGTAATGTAAATAGGACTCTATTTTCCGCGCTTAGCCTCTCATTTGGGCCGTTGTGCGTAACTCCCGCTAGTGTTATCATCCATTAAAAAAAAAAACCTCGTTCACAGCACAGAGACCATTCACAACAACCACCATTTGATTTTTTATTTTTACCCGATATAAATTACATCTATACAATGAAATTACCATTGTTTGGCATAATATAAATACAAAAGCAATACTTACTATTATTATAAATGTGAATGTAAGTTTGTTTGTTACCTGTTATCATTTGAACAGCTTAGCCAATCTTAAAATTTTTTTTATACAACTTAGAATGGTAAATAATCTGACGGCCCACCTGATAGAAAGTGGTAACCGTCGCCTATAGACACGAGCAGTACCATGGACACAACAGAGTATACTGTTTCACCCATGATACCCCCATGCGTTGCCATTCCTGAGGACTCAGGTGTTATACCTCTGTACTCAGTAAATTCACGCCATATCGCACCCTTCAAATCGAAACACAGCCATGCAAACACAGGTGCTTCACGATTGAAACACGTATGGGACAGAGGTACCCAAGCAATCGACTTTTGTACAAAGAGAAATGAAATTTGGTATACACATACTATATGAAATGAAGAAAATAGGCTATTTTATATCTCAGTCAATGAATATATCCCAGTCACATGGACAAAGTCACTGGTAAAAACTAGTATAATCATAAACACATATATATCTTCATAACAACCTATTAACATCTCATTAACAGGCCCCATTTATGAGTCTACTGGGAACGGCTTATCCAGAACCAGGGGACTACAGATATCTTAAACCGCGGGATATCGTCAAGGTAACGCATAGGATCTATGAAATGATGCTATAAGGCAGGGGGAAGCACAAAAGATCCGTATGGGTCGACGTGCAATAGCTTAGCTGACTTCATATGCGAAAAATAAGATAACAGGCCCCATTTATACTTCTTCCCATAGGAGGAAGATATTACCCCATTATAGAGAAATTGATCATGAAACAGAATGTTGGTTTTGTTCAGTTGTCTATCACATTCACTTGTGGAAGATGCTGTATGTTCCATTTATCACTAGTTTTTTTTTTTGGTGGATGAAAATGGAATGGTAACCCCGCATGCGCTAATGGGATACGCTGGCGGAGCACCAGTGAAGGGTGATAGATGAAATGAAAACAGGCCAGTTAGCTCATCATGATGAATTCATCAGGAATTAACCATGATAGTTTCCAAGGGGAACCACGAGGAAGTCGACCTGGTTAGGTATATTGCTAGCAATGGGATTTTTAGTCTCCATTACTAACAATCCCTTTCCCCCCTTTATCACTAGTTAAGACATCATAGGTATAATAAAGACACATTGTATTCTAACACTGTCACTATATGAAATGATACCTTTACTGGTTCAGGGAGCTTGTCAGACTCCCAGATGTTTAGTGTTTCCATAAACATTATGTAATAATCCACATTTTATCATAATAAATACTTTACCATAAATAATATTAGTTAATGTGTGATAAAAAAAAATAGATAAGGCAATAGACATATATATGTAAAGAAAAATTACACTACTTAGTATACACACCTTTATACTGACTGCTTTGTTCACATGAAATATGTGTATGGGTTTTGTAGATGTGACAGTTTGCACCTCCGAGAAAAACCTTTCAAAGCTCCAAATCCTATGTGGATCCACTTCCAGCAGCCCCGCCAATAATGGTGTGACTAGTTTCCTTAGGCCCTGGCTTAACTGGCAATGGGAGGGCAGCTCCCGAGACCATTCTATAGGGCCATTTTCTGTCGTTTGTGTTCCCTATAGAAATATTAAAGTAGACATATTATGTAATTTTTTTTATTATTTTATTTGTTATTGCAAATCCCAAAAACTTTAAATAAAAACTCTGAATTCTGCAAACAAGTTAAAATATTGTTAAGCACACACCATGTTGCATTCACTACTATAGTAATAGACCATAAAAGCCAAATTAGCTAATATATTATAAACCTATATTTACTAGATGTATACTGTGACTTTTCCTGAATGTGGATATGGTTTGTTTGTGATGATTTTTTACAAACTTGCACACATAAGAATCATTTTAGTAAAATAAAAGTATATTACTTTAACCCTTCTTTGTATAATGGTGGAAATTTCCAACATTGAATGCCCAAAAATTATATAAAAGAACAATTTTACATATGTTGATTGTGTCTGGATACATTCTTAATGTCCATTGCAGAAAAAAAAATAAACCATAGCTGTCAAATGTATTTTTTTAACAATTTTTTTTTTATTTTGAACATGAAATATGGCACCTTGATTTATTTCACCATTAAAAAAAAATAATACAAAGAAGGGTGAAATCTTACTAATTATTTAATGTTGTTGAGTCACCTTAATTATTTAATGTTATAAATTATTTGAGCTGCTGTCACTATTGTTTAATAATGTGAAGAATTAAATAATAAAAAAGTTATTACAAACTTACTGCAATAACTCCTGATGATTTCTTAGTAGTGATATAAAACATTGTTTCTTTATTTCTCCGGCCACCATATGGTCTGAATGGTAGTTGTCCTGTTGCAACATGATACAGGGTCACTCCTATGGACCACAGGTCTACTGTGGCCCCAAAACTCTTGCCTACTGGTTTTCGCAATACTGCTCTCTCATACATATCAGGATGTAAGTATTCTTCAGTGCCATACAATGATACAAACTGCTCCTCTTCCTGTAACTCTCTAGCTGCGCCAAAGTCTGTCAACTTGTATGTGGTAGTGCCATCCTCATTGATGTACTTCATAATGTTTCCGGGTTTCAAGTCTCGGTGTACTAAATTGTTGTCACGCAAATGCTTCATGCCAGCCGTTAAATGTTCTAACACCAGTAGAAATTCGTGTTCTTGAAGGCCATAAGTGTTCTCGGGGTCGTCCAGTATGTTAAACAAACTCCCTCCTGTGCACAGTTCCATAACAATAACTTTCCCGCGCCCCTCCTGCTCCTCTTCAATAGCCAGTAATTTTACAATATTCTCATGTTTCACCTTTTTCAAAACCTCAAATTCTCGCATTTGCACGTCATGTGGTCTCATATGGCTCAGTTGGTTAAATGTTTTTACAGCCACCGGTTCACCATTATTCTTATTCACTCCTTGAAACACTGCGCCAGTAGCGCCTTTGCCCAGGACGCTCGTCGTACACCACACATAATTCTCTGAACCTCTCAAGAACGACATTATGATTTCCTTTGTTCCAAAAGTTTATTACTCTTTTTTACTGGCATAAATCAAGTAATTCCATGTTATCTATAAAATGTTGTTTAGAAAATCACTTTACATTAAATCTATTTCATTACTTATAAAAGTAAAAATGTACACGTTGTATAAATTAAATGTTAAAAATTACATGTAAACAACAATAGAAGGAACTTTTATTATATTTTTTATTTATTTATCCACGACAAATTGAAATTACCTAGGTAAACCAAATTGACAATATTTGACAATTGACATTCTGATGCATAGCTGGCATAGATAGATAATTTCTTCAAAATTGTCTGTCAATGTCACATCAGTAACTTCATACATAAGCCAACTTCAAATGACGTCAAATTACAAGATTATATTTATTTACGTCTTGTGTCTTCACTAAATTAATTAAATTATTGGACTTGAAAATATATTAACATTAAAATTTTTTAAATTTCAAGAAAAGTGAAAATGTGGATATAATATATATTTGCAGAGTACAGTTTACGTGTTACCTTATATATAACCTATAATTTTGGTCAAAGCTGAGTGGTAAATTAAAATGTAAGTGTAAATTTATTAATTTTAATATTATAAATGCAAATATACCATTGTAGATTTGAACAATAATTACGTTATTATACATGTGTATAAAAATGAAAATGGTATATTATTTGAGTAGATACTCAGATTCTTTAGAGAAACGTTATTTATTATACCTTTTCAAGGTATATGCAATTATTTGTTAATTGTTATATAAAATCGGCTAGAACTAACGAATAATGAGATACTATTCACATACGTATTGATGAACTGTTCATCATATTACATACATACCTACACAATGTTTCATGGTTCAGCAATACGTAAGTTACATATGCTAAAATGTTCAAAAGATGTAAAGTGTACATACCTATCTTTTTTTACCTTTTATTTATTATCAACATTGTTATTAAAAAAATTCATGTAACCTTTCATCCTCCTTTGTTTATATTGTAAAAGGTTATTTTTATTAAATAATTGGAATGATGTAACTCAAAATGTAACAATTATGAGGTGCTGGTCAGTTATAAATAGTCAATTATTAATGTTTCATAATGAATATTGAGAATTTTCCATTTACTATCTATGGGTTTGTATGCCACAGCATTATAACTTCTGAACTTTAAGTATGATTGTATTGCAGAATTTTAGGGAATAACATATAATAAAGTAATCTCTGTTTCTAGATAAAGTATTCTATTAAATTTTATCAAAATATTACTTTGTCCATAGGTCATCTCGTTATGAAATAACGAAACATCAAGATCGTGCTAAAAGTAATTCTTTGGAGCGTCACCGCAGCCATAAAACTTCAAGTAGAGATAGAAGATCAAAGTCACATTCCCCTGTGGAGTCTAAACATAAGTCGTCTACTAGAGATAAGAAGAAATCTAAAGAGCATAGAGAGAAACACAAGAAGAGTAAGAAAAAAAAGAAAAAGCGATCATCATCAAGCAGCAGTTCTAGTGATAGTGATGAAGAGGAGTTGAAGTTACTGCAACGGTTGGAAGCTGAGAGGCTGCGCTTAAAGGAAGAAAGGAAAAAAGAGAAGGAGTTACTTAAAGCCAATGAGACACCAGAGGAAAAGAGGTTAGCATTTTTACTTCTAATAATAAAATCAATCATGGCAGTGGAATTAAAAAAAAATTACATCCCCCAGGGAGGTACCAGTAACCATGTTGCTGGAGAATCCTCCCTCGAGCAACCACACTGGCTGCCCTGCGTATTCTGGGGGGGCAAAATTCCGCTCTTTGGAACCAAGGACAAATGGAGCAAGATTTCTATGGCATCCCCTTCGCTTAATGTGAGCTTCTGCAACATCAGGGGCTTACACTCCAACCTAAACGTCACCACCACCTTGAAAAGGCGCGGCCGACATTGCTCTTTCTAATGGAGATACAGATATCCTCTCCAAACGAAACTTCATACCTGACGTACCCGGGCTATAAACTTGAACATTGTTTCGAGTGCCGGTGTATGCGCGTATGTCAGAGAGGATATCTGCTGTCGCCGCCTTGGAACTCTTGTAGATACGGACCGGTCCATTTTGTGGCTGCGTGTAGACTGCAATGACCATCCTCGCGTCTATGCATGCCTATACAGGTCATACAGAGGTAACATTAAAACCGACCAACTCATTGAGCACGTCCAAATGGCTACACATTCCCTGCTCGAACAGATTCCTTCCACTAAAGTCGTGATTCTTGGCGACTTTAATGCCAACCATGCTGAATAGCTTGGTTCACGTACAACCGACTATGCGGGAAGATTTGTTCATGACTTTGTTTTGGCTTATGGTCTGACGTAGCTTGTTTCCTCGCGAATGCCTGATGTGTTGGATCATTCACCTTCACTGCTGGACCTTCTGCTGACCACCCACCCTATGTGATTTCCGTCGAAGCCCCGCTTGGATCGTCGGATCATTGTCTGGTGCGGAGCGAGGTGCCTCTCATGAGTCCGATTCCATCTCGTTCTATGGGTAGACGTCGTGTTTGGCACTACAGGTCGGCAGACTGGGATGAGATGCGGATTTTTTTCGCATCGTACCCATGGAGGCAGGTTTGTTTCACACTGGGGGATCCCGACGCCATCGCCGATTCCATTGCCGATGTGGTGCTTCAGGGAATGGAACTATTTATTCCTAACTCTGTGGTACCCGTTGGTGGGAAATCCCAGCCCTGGTATGGAGCCTCCTGTAGAATAGCATCTCGCCTGAAACAGGAGTGCTTCCTAGCCTGGGTGGTGAAGGTGTGGTGTCGCGAGATCCTAACATCAGTGCCCGTAAAATAAAGTACAATTTTGCCTCTAGGTCTTTCAAAAGAGTTTTAGTCACAGCGAAGTCAGAGCATATTGGTAGAATTGGCAAGAGATTGGCTAGTTTACCGTCGGGATCTCGAACTTTCTGGTCTCTTGCACAAGGGAATTTCTGTCAGTCATCCTTTCCACCATTGCGCAGGGAGGATAACTCGTTGGCTCTGAATGCCAAAGAGAAAGCCAATCTCCTTGGATTCCTCTTTGCATCAAACTCGACGTTGGATGATGGAGAGATACCACCGCCGACCATCCCACGTTATAAGAGCTCTATGCCGGATGTTAAAATCACGCAAAGATCAGTGCGTAGAGCACTTCTCTCTCTTGAAATCCATAAGTCGAGTGGGCTCTACGGCATTCCTCCAATTGTGCTTAAGACGTGTGCGCCAGAGTTGGCTCCGGTTCTTACGCGTCTTTTCCGGCTCTGTTACTCATCAGGTATAGTTCCAAAGTTTTGGAAGACTGCCTTGGTACATCCGATCCCTAAAAAAGGAAACCGCTCAGATCCAGCTAACTAAAAATATGTAGGCGACAAAGGAAACCAGGAATGGAAATTGGAAATATGTATATAATAGTCAAAGGAACTTAGAAGACTAGGGCCGTAAAGGGAAGCCAAAAGGGAAACAATAGATATGCGTGTCAATTTCGAATTTGGTAAATAATAATATATAGCTATAAATAATATATGTGGCCTGTACTCCACATATTGCCCACCTATAGGCCCATAGCTATCACTTCTTTATTCTCGAAAGTCATGGAATGAATCGTTAACCATCAACTGCTCCGGTACTTAGAAGATCACCAGCTGATCTGTGATCGCCAGTACGGCTTTCGACAGGGACGCTCGGTTGGTGATCTTTTGGTTTATTTAACACACCGATGGGCAGTGGCAATCGAGAATAAGGGAGAGGCCTTAGCTGTTAGTCTGGATATTGCGAAAGCCTTTGATCGGGTGTAGCATAGGGTGCTAATTTCAAAACTACCATCGTTTGAGTTGCCTGCGAGATTATGCAGTTGGGTCGCCAGTTTTCTCAAGGATCGTAGCATTAAGGTCGTAGTCGACGGAGCATGCTCTGACTTAAAACCTGTAAATGCTGGTGTCCCGCAAGACTGTGTACTATCTCCGACACTGTTTCTTCTGCATATCAATGATATGTTACAGATCAGTGATATTCATTGTTATGCAGACGACAGTACAGGAGATGCATTATACACTGGTCATGCAAAGATTTCGCGGGCACATACTGATGAGCTTCGGAACAGACTTGTGTCTGAAATCGAAACTTCACTCAATCAAGTTTCTATATGAGGCGAACGCAATTTAGTACTCTTCAACCCTAAGAAGACACAAATCTGCGCATTCACTGCAAAAAAGATGTTGTTTGTTGTATCTCCTCACTTTCAGGCCACTTCCCTCGATAATAATTCGAGTTTGGGGATTCTTGGCGTCGATATATCTAGCGACGTCCAGTTTTGCGGTCATCTGGAGGAAAAAGTTAAGATAGCTTCCAAAAAGTTGGGGGTGCTCAATAGGGTGAGACGGTATTTCACGCCGGAATACTGCCTGAAACTGTATAAAACTCAAGTGAGGCCACACATGGAATACTGTTCTCACCTGTGGACAGGAGCGCCACAGTACCAACTCCTTCCGTTAGGCCGCATTCAAAGTCGGGCAGCTCGAATTGTTGACGATCGGCGTCTTACTGTCCGACTCGACCCACTGAAACTGCGTAGAGATGTTGCATCTCTGTGCATCTTCCACCGAATTTATCATGGGGAGTGCTCTGAAGAATTGTTCGGATTGATACCTGCTGTTGATTTTCACCTTCGTACAACCCGCCATAAACTAAAATTTTATCCCAACCATCTAGACGAGTGGCAGTCCTTCACCGTGCATTTTTCAAGGCACTTTCTCCCACGCACAACCACTCTTTGGAATCAACTTCCAGCAGCAGTATTTCCGAACCGATACGACAACATAACCTTCAAGAAAAGATCATATTCCTTTTTAAAAGGCCGGCATCACACCTGCAATGCCGTTGGTGTTGTGGGTGACCATGGGCGGCGGTAGTCACTTACCATCAGGTGAGCCGCATGCTCGTTTGCCCCCTGTGTTGTAAAAAAAAAATCGTAAATGTACATAGTTTGTAATCGTAGTGAGTGGCAAGAGCTCCACCGACAAGAGCACAGCTTTTAAATGAGAAAAAAAATATATTGTATAAAATAATTTTTTACTTTTTTTATATAGGAAAAACTTCTAGAAAAGATATAAAAGTCATGTTTAAATATGTTATTTTATCCTGTCGTTTAATATACAAAGTGTGCCTTTTACCCATGGCTTTGTTCATGTGATTAAGACAATGTTCATAGACCAGAATAAACTTTCTCCATCTTATATCCTATCATAGGTTGAAGACCAGGCTATTGCTGTTATTGTGTGGTACTTTATATCATATTTGTATACCAAATTTCATAATTTCAATATTACGCAAGGATTTGCAATTAATGCAATAGCCATATAAAAAGTCTATGTAAATCTCAGTATGCATGTATATGATATTACAAATTCTGTTTCCTACAGGACAGGCTCAGCCTAGTATAGGAAACAATGATAAGTTCTGTGTTTATACAAACATACTTTGTTAAATAAATATATCTGTATCTTTATATGGTTTAGGATGATAATTTAATCTGAGGGCCTACCATAAAGTGTCTTCTGTAATTTCAGGGCTGAATTAAATGTATATATTATATACCATTTAAAAATATTAAATATGTTTAAATATCATTCTTTTGGACTTTAATGGTGAGATTTATAACAAACGAAATGTTAAGCTCAATTTACTGGGTCGATTTCGGTATCGGGTTTTCATTTCATGATAGACCCCCTGTATTGTGTTGAGACAGAAGAAATTTTTCTAGATTTTCTAGATAGATATAGTTTCAGTGTTCATCTTAATTCATAGAGCTCGACGGCTCCGCGAGAAACAAGAGAAGGAGCGTCGTCGCCGTGAACGTATGGGGTGGGATAATGAGTATCAATGTTACACGAACCAGGACAACCCTTTTGGGGACTCGGCCCTGACTAATACATTTGTATGGAACAAGAAACTAGCCAAAGAAGGTGTAAAAACTGTATCAAGGGAGGAACTGGAAGCGTTAAATAGACAGAAGCAGCTGGAGAATAAAATAGAGCTCGAAAAGGTATGTGCAATAAAATTTTATTCTCGGTATTATCAAATTACAAAAAGGGATTATATGTGTCACGTCATAAACGCTGTTAGTGGTTACATAAATATTAAATACATTTAGCTACAACATAATATAGTTTTGATGAGATGTGTTAGTATACGAGCGCTGGTACGGATGGCAGGTGAAGCAGCGGCGGCTGGAGCGCGAGGCAGAGCGCGCGGCGCGCGAGGCCGAGGCGGCGGCGGCGGCGCGCGCGCGCGAGGCGGCGCAGTTCAGCAGCTGGGCGCGCCACGAGGACGCCTTCCACCGCCACCAGGCGCGCCTGCGCTCGCGCATACGCATCCGCGACGGCAGAGGTGCGCGCCCTCTACACATACGCAGGTGCAGGTGCAGGTGCAGGTGCAGGTGCAGGTGAAGCAGCGGCGGCTGGAGCGCGAGGCGGCGCAGTTCAGCAGCTGGGCGCGCCACGAGGACGCCTTCCACCGCCACCAGGCGCGCCTGCGCTCGCGCATACGCATCCGCGACGGCAGAGGTGCGCGCCCTCTACACATACGCAGGTGCAGGTGCAGGTGCAGGTGCAGGTGCAGGTGAAGCAGCGGCGGCTGGAGCGCGAGGCGGCGCAGTTCAGCAGCTGGGCGCGCCACGAGGACGCCTTCCACCGCCACCAGGCGCGCCTGCGCTCGCGCATACGCATCCGCGACGGCAGAGGTGCGCGCCCTCTACACATACGCAGGTGCAGGTGCAGGTGCAGGTGCAGGTGAAGCAGCGGCGGCTGGAGCGCGAGGCGGCGCAGTTCAGCAGCTGGGCGCGCCACGAGGACGCCTTCCACCGCCACCAGGCGCGCCTGCGCTCGCGCATACGCATCCGCGACGGCAGAGGTGCGCGCCCTCTACACATACGCAGGTGCAGGTGCAGGTGCAGGTGCAGGTGCAGGTGAAGCAGCGGCGGCTGGAGCGCGAGGCGGCGCAGTTCAGCAGCTGGGCGCGCCACGAGGACGCCTTCCACCGCCACCAGGCGCGCCTGCGCTCGCGCATACGCATCCGCGACGGCAGAGGTGCGCGCCCTCTACACATACGCAGGTGCAGGTGCAGGTGCAGGTGCAGGTGCAGGTGAAGCAGCGGCGGCTGGAGCGCGAGGCGGCGCAGTTCAGCAGCTGGGCGCGCCACGAGGACGCCTTCCACCGCCACCAGGCGCGCCTGCGCTCGCGCATACGCATCCGCGACGGCAGAGGTGCGCGCCCTCTACACATACGCAGGTGCAGGTGCAGGTGCAGGTGCAGGTGCAGGTGAAGCAGCGGCGGCTGGAGCGCGAGGCGGCGCAGTTCAGCAGCTGGGCGCGCCACGAGGACGCCTTCCACCGCCACCAGGCGCGCCTGCGCTCGCGCATACGCATCCGCGACGGCAGAGGTGCGCGCCCTCTACACATACGCAGGTGCAGGTGCAGGTGCAGGTGCAGGTGCAGGTGAAGCAGCGGCGGCTGGAGCGCGAGGCGGCGCAGTTCAGCAGCTGGGCGCGCCACGAGGACGCCTTCCACCGCCACCAGGCGCGCCTGCGCTCGCGCATACGCATCCGCGACGGCAGAGGTGCGCGCCCTCTACACATACGCAGGTGCAGGTGCAGGTGCAGGTGCAGGTGCAGGTGAAGCAGCGGCGGCTGGAGCGCGAGGCGGCGCAGTTCAGCAGCTGGGCGCGCCACGAGGACGCCTTCCACCGCCACCAGGCGCGCCTGCGCTCGCGCATACGCATCCGCGACGGCAGAGGTGCGCGCCCTCTACACATACGCAGGTGCAGGTGCAGGTGCAGGTGCAGGTGCAGGTGAAGCAGCGGCGGCTGGAGCGCGAGGCGGCGCAGTTCAGCAGCTGGGCGCGCCACGAGGACGCCTTCCACCGCCACCAGGCGCGCCTGCGCTCGCGCATACGCATCCGCGACGGCAGAGGTGCGCGCCCTCTACACATACGCAGGTGCAGGTGCAGGTGCAGGTGCAGGTGCAGGTGAAGCAGCGGCGGCTGGAGCGCGAGGCGGCGCAGTTCAGCAGCTGGGCGCGCCACGAGGACGCCTTCCACCGCCACCAGGCGCGCCTGCGCTCGCGCATACGCATCCGCGACGGCAGAGGTGCGCGCCCTCTACACATACGCAGGTGCAGGTGCAGGTGCAGGTGCAGGTGAAGCAGCGGCGGCTGGAGCGCGAGGCGCCAAAAACCAATTAGGCTTATGCCCAAAAAGAATTTGCAGATTTTGTCACAATGTGGAAGAAACGCCGCAGCACTGAATCAGAACTGAAAAACACACTCTGTATCCTGAGGAGATAAAAAACATCGCTACAAAAAACGTGTTAAAATTCCTATCATTGATAGGAATTAGCAGGGAACTTTAATAAAGGGCGAGCACGAAAGATCATGGAAAGATCGCTGTGTCACAGGTTTTTTCTGCATGATAAAGCCCGTCTTTCAATAATAATAAACAATAGGCATAAAAATATCCTATGTGATAAATGTTTAATATTTATGATGTAAATGCAGTTAAATGCTTTTATAAATGTTTTTAATTTTTTAGCCAAGCCCATAGATCTCCTGGCGTGGTACGTCAGCTCCGAGGAGTGTGTGGACGCATTAGAGATGCACGAGCCGTATACGTATCTCAACGGGCTGCAGATGCAGGATCTCGAGGATTTATTAGAAGATATCAAGGCAAGTGTGCTAACATTTAGTATAAATATAAAATAGGTATATACTAAATAACCGACATAGTCCGAAGGATAAGCAAGCTGAAGTGGCAATGGGCTGGTCACATAGCTCGAAGAACCGACAACCGATGGGGAAGGTTCTTGAATGACGACTACGTACGGGTAAACGCAGTGTAGGACGACCCTCGACTAGATGGAGTGACGACCAGAAATTCGTTGCAGGGAGTCAGTGGATGCAGGTGACTTAGGACTGTTCTTTATGGCAGTTTATGGGGGAGGCTTATATCCAGCAGTGGACGGACAATGGCTGAAATGATGACGATGATGAAAAACTGTGTTAAAAGTATAAAATATATCACTATTATATTTTGGTTAGAAGAGTAAGATATGGCAGCAGGATTTCAGGGTATGATAAGAAGCATAACACTATACTTGTCACTAACAGCATCATGAGGAATACTATGAGAATCCCTATATTCTATGATGTCGTGATGCTATTCCTATCTACATGTGATGGTGCCACTGTGGCTCGTCGAAGCTGATGAAATTTGTCATTTTAAGTAGTATAAAATGAAGACATAATGCAATAGTAGTATGTGACTGGCCAGGTGTACAAGGAGCTGGAGAACAACGTGAACCAGTCGTACTGGGAGGACGTGCAGACCATCGTGGTGGACGAGCTGAGCAAGCTGCGGCGCCTGGCCGCGCCCGACGCGCGCCGTGACGGCGTGCACCAGGCCGTCGCCGATGACGTCACGCAGGTGAGCTCACTACTGATACAAACCCCATGACTTTAAATATGACCTTGATCTTGAAGTTTATTTAACCCCTCGAGCGTTTATGCATCATACACTGTACTGAACAGAAATGTAGTACCGCGCGCTAATTCAACAGCGTCTCTTGCATAATACGAATTAGTATTGTATAAAATTGTATAAAAACACGAATTGTATAAAAAAAAAACTAATTAGCAGCGTCGTTTTCATTAAATTTATGTAGTCATTAATTTATGTAGGTCATTAACTTATGTAGGTCATTAACTTATGTAGGTCATTAACTAATGTAGGTCATTAACTTATGTAGGTCATTAATTTATTGAAGTCATTAATTTATGTAGGTAATTAATTTATGTAGGTCATTAATTTATGTAGATAATTATTTTATGTAGATAATTAATTTATGTAGGTAATTAATTTATGTAGGTCATTAATTTATGTAGATAATTAAATTATGTAGGTCATTAATTTATGTAAGTCATTAATTTATATAGGTCATTAATTTATGTAGGTTAAAAACCCATTTATCTATAACCTCTAATCGAAATTTGGTAATTTCAATAATCGGTGACGCAGTGAATGTATTGTATTGTATTGTAAAATCTTTATTGTACATAACTCAGATTAAACAGCGATGTAGCGAGCTAGTCTAGAGCCGATCGCTCCACGGGTTAAAGCTCAACTTGGAATTTTAAAAATACAGGGTGCATGTCCATGGTTAGTTTGTTGCTTCGGTACAGGGTTTAAAGGGAGGTGCGGTCGAGCGACGTCCATGACGCAAAGCTATAAGAAATGTTAAGAGTCGCGTTCAATTAAGAACGCTTTAGAAATTCACCAATAAATGTAAAAAGAAATTACCTAATACAGGTTTTTTTTTTCATACCATGAAGGTGGCAAACAAGCATACAGCCTGTCTGATGGAAAGTGGTAACCGTCGTCTATAGACATGAGCAGTATCATGGACATGACAGAGCATACTGTTTCGCCCATGATACCCTCCATGCGTTGCCATTCCTGAGGACTTAGGTGTTCCATATATCACCATGTTCCATATATGTCGCCATATCCCACCCTTCAAACCGAAACACAGCCATGCAAACACAACTGCTTCACGGTTGAAACACGAATGGGACAGAGGTACCCAAGCAATCGACTTTTGTACAAAGTCTCCCTCTGGTAGTCTACGGACGTCTGTGACACTAAGGGCGTGAATCTAATTTCTTCATTATCAATTATTTCATCAATCAATCATTTTATCAATCAATCATTTCCTCAATCAATCATTTAAATTTTGTATAGTAACCTCACTTATATAAAGGTTTGCCTTGTTTATAATTAATACAAAACGTCACATTTACAATAATATATTTTATAATTTTGTTTGTATTAGATCTTCAAGGGCAAGACGGGCAGCCAGCTGGAGGCGCTGCAGATCCAGATCGAGCAGAAGATCAGCGGGCGGCGCGACGGCGTCGACATCGGCTACTGGGAGAGCTTGCTCAGCCAGCTCAAGGGTTAATACAGTTTTAGCTTGTTTTATTTATTTATTTATAAGAAACATGGTCAGTGTATAGATGTTACAGTAAGTATAGGTCCTCATATTTCGCTATAATTAGGCGTGTAAATATTAAAACTTAAAAAGAATAAATGTCTTAAAACTCATTTAAGAGCCATTAAAATTCGAAATCATCATCTTCCTACCCTTATCCCAATTATAATATGGGGTCGGCGTAATGTTTTTATCCAAATCTACAAAAAGATTTGGCTTAGTCATTAAAATTCGAAATGTTATATAAAAAAAAAAAAAAAACATAAAAAATGTCAACAATAAAAAAAACAAAGAAATGTCACTGTTTACTATATATATATCGTCATTATATCAATCTATAACTATTCATTGCTGAATGTAGGCTTCACCCTTGGGGCTGTTTTGCTAGCAATTGCCACGCTTGGCAGCCTGGTTGGCAACCGCAGTTAGGCTTTGGTGATGTTTTAAGAAGGATGCTGTGGTCCATCTCTCTATCGTTAAATTCGTTTTCTCATGTGACACTCACTATAATATGTACGAGTGTTTATCGTTAAATAATGTAAAACAAAACTGCTTTCTATTCTGTTTGCTTTGTTTACCATATTTTGTTTAAACCTTGCAACAGATTTTGATACGGGTGTTACTGTCGTTTAGATTTTTTTATAGTAGGTTATAGTTTTTATATAACTGTATCTGTGGCAACTTGGGACAGGTTTTTTTTTATTGAGTGATAATGGAATGGTAACCCCACCCGCGCTATCGGTATACACCGGCGGGCCACCAGTGAAGGATGATAGGTGAGGATGAAGCAGGTCAGGTAGCCCATCGTGACGAATTCAACAAAAATTGTTCACGATGGTTTCTAGGGGGAACCACGTGGAGGTCGACCTGATAGGGCATATTGCTAGCAATGGGGCTGTCAAACTCCATTGCTAACAGTCCCTTTCCCCCCACTTGGGACGGGTTACGATATATGTTAATACTAATCTTTGAAGTAGCTCAGTTGATATAAATGAAATTTTATGAATACATATTGTAAGCACGTATAAGTGGAGTACAGGGTACTTTTTATGTCAATAAGAAATGTTGGTTGATGATGGTCGTGATGTGTGCGCGTGTGTCCGTGTCGGCATGTGCAGCGCACATGGCGCGCGCGCGGCTGCGGGAGCGGCACCAGCACAACCTGCGCCGCAAGCTGCAGCTGCTCAAGCAGGAGCAGGGCGTCGCGCAGCCCGCCGACCAGCAGCCGCCGCAGCAGCCGCACCACCACCACCCGCACCACCCGCACAAGTACGCACCTCTCCCCGCCATACAACACCTAGCTCTTCGGAATGCGGAATGTGCATCAGATAGATACTCTTTATTGTTTCCTCCAAAAGATTACAATAGTAAACTTATTATAAATATAAACAATTACAAGAAATAATCACAATGAGAAAACAATGGGCGACCTTGTCAAAGAGTTGCTAAGAGTGATCTCTTCCAGCCAACCTTTGGATGGAGAGGAGTAATTATAAACACTTCAGTGGGAGGCACGATGAAAAATTCTGTTAGTTCTAAATATAGAGATGTGATACATGTAATAATTTAAATATTATCCCTACTTATTATTATTATTACATACACAAATTTATATATATATATATATATATATATATATATATATATATATATATATAAACGCCTACACAAATACATAAACATATATAAATACTATTCACATGTAAACGTAAAACCATTATAGAATATTTTAAATGCATGCTGTATTGATTCAGTACAATGTTTTATGTTCAAAGCGCCGCCCGAGGACGACGTGATTTTTTTTTGTCTCAAATGTCACCGTAGTGTCGACTCACACGTTCATAGAGTACGCGGCGTCGTTACAGAACGGAATCACCGGACCGGGAGCGGGCGGAGGAGGCTGCGAGCGGCGGCGGCGAGGCGGGCGAGGAGGAGTCGGCGGCGGCGGCGGAGGAGGCGGCGGAGGAGGAGGAGGAGGAGGCGGCGTGCGCGGCGCTGTACGCGGCGGGGCGCTACTCGCCGGCGCGGCTGGCGGCGGGCGCGCTGTCGCCGGGCACGCTGCTGGTGGAGCCGGCGCACGACGACCAGCGCGTCGCCTTCCTGCGGGCCGCGCTGCTGCGCCAGGTACCACTACATCTCATTTCTTGGTCTTGGTCGCTACACCGACAGGTGCCCTTTCTCAGAGTTCATTCAGACACCTTTTTTATTTTTCATGGGGGATGCGTCAGATACGACGGACAGACGTTGTCACAAAAATACACCAATTATAGTTTAATGTATTTATTGGCACCATAAACAAATTTTACAAATTACAAAAGTAGCGTAGTGTACGATAACAGCCGCATTAGTGAAAATAACTGTGTCGTGGCTGTCAACGTTTTAGACATAGTGTCATGATTGGATCATTCCTTTTGAAGTAAAGGATCCTTTGGTCGTATAGAGACTGAGTGTAATACCTGATAGTAAGTGTCGACGGGCAGTGATCTGTTGTCGTCGAGATATAATGGCACTGTGTCCGCCGGCAGCCGGCGGCGAGCGGCGGCACGGCGTCGTCGCTGGAGCAGGCGGCAGCCCGCAGCATGGGCGCGGCGGCCGACCACGCGCCCTTCAGCGCCGAGCACGCGCTGCCCGAGCAGCCGTGCCTGTGGGCCGACAAGTACCGGCCCAGGAAGCCGCGCTACTTCAACAGGTACGCTTCGATATGTACTCTACCTGTTGTCTATCACTCCAGCTCAGCTTTAAACCTAAGCCAAGACGTTACCATTCTTTATATGTCCTTTCGCTTTTATGACAGATAAGTAGATTGATAAACTCTTTATTTGCATCTAAAGATATACAATATTGTAAAATAATAACAAAAAAAAACTTTAAATATAAGGATAGTGTTCTAAAGAATTAATCGAGATGATTGCCTTTTTTACCATCTTACTGTACGCCATCGACACGATTTTCACCATACAAACCTAATTGGTCACTATAAAATGCAATTTTAGAGGATTTGTCTTCCATAAACCCTCAAATTATTGAATGAGCTCCCTCCTGAGATTTTCTCTTTGCGGTCGCAGCACCTTGTGTTGTAAGCATCTTAAGCTATAACCGTTTACTACCAGACAAGCTGTTTGTCACCTTTGTACATTGCACTGGACAGAAAAAGAAATCTACATGTATGTCGGTTTATGTACATAAAACTAAGTCACTACATTATATTTTCAAAAATTCTGTAATTATTAATGTAATGTATGTATTAATGTGTGACCTTGTGATTTCAGAGTTCATACAGGATTTGAATGGAACAAGTACAACCAAACTCACTATGACATGGACAACCCGCCGCCGAAGATCGTGCAGGGCTATAAGTTCAACATCTTCTACCCGGATCTCATCGACAAGAATGCCACCCCTGAGTTCTCACTGGTGATTATATCATTAATAAATGAATGAAAACACTTTATTGTAGAAGTATGATACAGATTATAAAGAATAATAATATATACATAAACAAAATAAATACTTAATTATATAAAACCAAGATAAAGAGGTAACAATGGATGGCCTTAACGCTAAAAAGTGACCTCTTTCAGGCCACAATTAGTATACTATACTGGTTCCTAAGACGACCTAGAGACACTTGGTGTTCTCAGTAGAAGATATACAGGGTAAGGGATTCAATGTTAAATAATAAAAAATTCCTGACTTATTGAGAGATGTCGCGAGCTGTAGCTACTTATGGATAAATTAAATTTGTATATGTATGTTTGTATTGTATTCTACCTCTGTATGGTTGGCTTACCAGAGGGAGACTATGTACAAAAGTTGTTTGCTTGGGCACCTCTGTCCTATTTGTGTTTCTACTGTTAAGCAGTTGTGTTTGCATAACCGTGTTTCGGTTTAAAGGGATATAGCATTGAATTTACAAGGTACAGAGGAATAATATTGGGGGTATTATGGCCGGAACAGTATACTCTACTATGTCTATGGTACTGCTCATGTCTATAGGCGATGATTGCTATTTTCCATCAGGTGAGCAGTCAGCTTGTTTGTCATTCTAAGTTGTATAAAAAAAAATGGTGGTTAACAATAATTCTTGTATATTACAGAAACCATGTCCCGAGAATGCAGACTTTGCTGTGCTCCGGTTCCACGCGGGGCCGCCGTACGAGGACATCGCGTTTAAAATAGTGAACCGAGAGTGGGAGTACTCGTACAAGCGAGGGTTCCGCTGCCACTTCCACAACAACATATTCCAATTGTGGTTCCACTTCAAGAGATACCGCTACCGCCGCTAAACACAATCGCAATGACACAATGTAAAATAAAAATGTTTTTTGAACTTTTTTTTCTTTCATTTCATACACACTAGACAAACTATAAATTATAATATCAATAGGAAATATCATTATCATCATAGTAACACTTATTAACTCCTAGCAACATATTTGGGATAGCCATTTAAGTGGTGCTAGTCCTATGCTTTTTCACCTCTCGATTGTTGGTACTTCGACTATGTAGTTAACCTATTGCCACTACAGACTTACAGAATTCCAATCTTTTAGAATTCAGTTGTAAATTATAATATAAAAGTAATATTTACATATTGGTAGTTTCCCGCGTGAATCTTTTTTTTTTTTTATACAACTTAGAATGGCAAACAAGCTGACGGCCCACTTGATGGAAAGTGGTAACCGTCGCCTATAGTTATGAGTAGTATCATGGACATAACAGAGTATACTGTTTCGCCCATGATACCCCCCAAGCGTTGCCATTTCTGAGGACTCAGGTGTTTTTCCTCTGTACCCAGTAAATTCACGCCATATCCCACCCTTCAAACCGAAACACAGCCATGCAAACACAACTGCTTCACGGTTGAAACACGAATGGGACAGAGGTACCCAAGCAATCGACTTTTGTACAAAGTCTCCCTCTGGTAAACACAAATCACTCAAAGTATCCTCTCTAGTGTTACAATATAACTTGCCTGTCTTCCAAATATCATTGTTGGAAACAGATCTCCTTTTATCAATGGACTTGTAAAGGAAGGAGGTCGTAAATTCAGTTGTAATTTTTTTTATGCTTTTTACTGCATAACTCCATCAGTTGTAAACAAATTTGTAAAATTCTTTTTTTATTGGAATGGAAATTTTTACTAATCAGTCCCATAAAAATTTTATCAAAATCAGTTCAGTAGTTTAATTTTAGATATTTATTAATATCTTAATATTTTAGATAGTTTCACAACAAAAAAAGTTTTTTTTGTAACTTTTTTTATTATTAATATACATATATATAAGAAGAATAAACTGATGAGTTCTACAAAATTCTTTCCTTACCCACCAGTGCACAACTAGTATAATAGTTCAAATCTATTTAGTAGTTTGTGTGATTCAGTAATAAACATCCTATCACATATTATAAAAAAAAATTTGTTAAACTCAGGACAATTTTTATTATGATTATAATATTTAAATAATAGGTATATTATTTATCCTTAAATTGTAAATCTAAAATTAAATAATTGTAACAGTAATATATAAATAATATATTTCAAAAATACCAAAATCTTTTTGAGATATGTAGAGTGGGCAACATTCTCAATTCTACATTAAACAATACACTAGAAAGAAAAGAATTGCAGACCTGAAATATTGTCTTAGATAAATAAAAATCTTTTCATGGTATCTACTTAATTTAATCTTTATTAGATATTTAATAACTTATTGCTTGGGTTTCTCTTCGCCAGGGTTGGTGACCTCCTCTGTAGCAGGATTGCTCCTGAAACTAGGGAACTGCTCCCAAGGAGCACTCAGCTCAAAGCGCCTAAACTCCTGGGCCAGTTCTAGAGGTTCCACCACTACACGTTTTTGTTCGTCATCATAACGCACTTCCACATAACCACTCAATGGGAAGTCCTTTCTAAATGGATGGCCCTCAAATCCATAATCTGTCAAAATTCTCCTCAAATCAGGATGATTAGCAAAGAATACACCAAACATATCCCAAATTTCTCTCTCATACCAATTAGCCGCTTTGAAGACGTCACATGCAGAGTCCACTGGAGTCAATTCATCAGTGTATGTTTTGACTCTGATCCGAGCATTGTATCGTAAAGATAGTAGGTTGTATATGATTTCAAACCTGTTTGGCCTAGAAGGTACATCCATCCCCGCAATATCAACGAGATTTGCGAACTGTGCGCTGTGGTGGTCTTTCAGGAATTGCAGAACTGGAATCACACCATCAGGAGGAATGAGCACTTCTAGCTCGTTTCCAGCTGTAATTTGTACTTTCTGGACATATTTAGGTAAACATTCGGCTACATATTTCCCAAAGTCAATTAGTTGAGCTTTTTGCAAGGGGTCTAATTTAGCCACAGTAGGGCGAGTTTCAACTTGTGGTGTCGCCTGATCAGTTTTGTTTGCTATACGTTGAAACATAGGGGTCCTAGCGTTATTTAAAACAATTCGACCCATATTGCTCGCCGCACCAGCGGTGCGCTTCAAGAAAAAGGACATCGTATTGAAAATATATATTTCCTTACGTAATTTGCGAAAATTGAACTACAAAACACAAATTGACAATTACATGGAATATATCTTGATATATCAAATTTTCTGCACAGATTACAGAGACTATGACTGAAGACTTCATGTTAATTGACAAATATTGTCCGTGTACAAATAGATACTCTTCTTTATCTATGGCATCAGTAGAAAAAATCCTATAGAGGCCTTTAGGCATAAATTCTATATGTAGCTAAGAACAAGAATAACTATAATATAGATATAATAAAAAGCCTTAGGTATATAGATAGAGGCTTGAATCTTAAAAATGGGTTAATTTTTATCTTTAGTACGTAGTAATTATAAATTATATATAAATATTAATATATATATAATTAATATTATATATAATTATATTTGCTCTATATTTAGTATAGTGTTGCCAGATCAGATAACTGTCGCTTTTTAGGCCATCACGAAAAAAAAATATTGCCTTTTTAGCCTGTAAAGGACATTTTTAGTCAAATTATATTAATTATAAATTTTTTTGTAGAACTTCGTAAAAGAAAAACTCTGTAATAATTACAATTTCTATTATAGGTATATGTATCATAATAATATAGTAAAATAAAACAATATTTCTAAGTAGTAGAGTTTTTGAGAAATTATCAAACAATATCATAAATAAACTTAGTATTTTTTTTATAACATGGTTAGTGACTACCGTTGCCCATGATCATCCACAACATCAACGGCATTCTAGATGTGCTGCCGGCCATTTAAAAAGAAATATGCTCTTTTCTTGACGGTTATGTTGTTGTATCGGTTCGGAAATACTACAGCTGCAAGTTGATTCCAAAGAGTCAATTAATGTATGTGTAACTCAATTGTGATCCTATTAACGACAAATATTAAAAAAAAAATTAATGTTAGGAGTTTATTTAGTATAAGAAATAATTCAACGATTAATGTATCTCATATCTATGTATAGAACTTTGGCGTGTGTGTTCAATTCGCACTTTATTATTATCAATCGACATTAAAAAGGAGAAAGTTCTGAATTCGGTAATATTTTTTTCAGGTTTGTTACCTTATAATTTCGTCAGTTAGATTTAGGCTATTTTAGGCTATATTGCAATAAAAAAAGTGTAGACAATTAATAATAATAATAATAATTGCCGTACTATAAGTACGAGCCCCAGCCGGTCCTCGAAAGTGACAGCGTCAGGCTCTACTGGGACCGATCCATCATCACGGACAGGACCGTTCTTGCGAACAAACCTGATATCGTGGTGATGGATCGTGCACTTTCGAGAGTATTTTTAGTGGATGTCACCATACCGCATGACGAGAACCTCGTGAAAGCCGAAACTAAGAAAAAGAGAAAATATCTCGACCTGGCTCACGAGGTGATCGAAATGTGGGGGGTAGCGTTCACCCAAATTATTCCAATCGTTTTGTAGGTGAACAGTCTTATGTCAACCAGTCTGGAACAACATCTCAGACGGTTGGGATTCCGAGGCGGCTCACTCCCGGGAAAGATGCAGAAAGCGGTGCTCTTAGATTCTGCCCGCATTGTACGCCGGTTTCTCTCCCTGGGGCCCTGACCCTCGGCCGACTGTGCTTCTGCCGGTGGTTAGTTGCCATCTCCTCTCCTTAAGAGGGGAGATGTGAATTTACTAGAAATTTAAATAATAATAATATTAATAAAGTTTATTCTTTCTTACAATTTTCGATTACAATTGTACTTCAATCCACTACTACTCCAGTTTTTGGCGAATTTAACAATTTATTTTATCTGGCAACACTGGTTTTGTACTACATAATCTGTCAGATGTAGTTTGTATTTTATTTCTATTTCGTAGTTCGCGTTAACAACTTGTCACTTATTGTTTCCCTGTTTTCAACAAAGTTTGTTCAAAATTTATTCGGATTTTAAGTTTATTTTGCTATCAATTATTCTGAAAAAAATATTTTTAAATCAATATAAATTATGTGGATATAGTTTAAAACCTATATTAAAATCAGGTTCGTGTAAATTGATTATGAATGCATCATGAGGTTATAAAGATATTATTAAAATCATTAATTGTCCTGAATATTAACCCCGTTAGGGTGTTGTAAATTACATATTTACTCATTAATTGTACGTTGATATAGTAAATTACATGATAAAAATTATATAGACTTTATTTTCCACGTGAACGTCAGTCGGAAGCCGGTTTATTGTGTTTTGAAGATCGAAACTAAATTTTATTACCAAAATAATTTAAATTAATTTATTTTGTTGGCAGTATGGATTCTGAAATATCAGATTTAAAGAAGGTGTTGCGTTCGCTGGTGGTGTCGAGCCCCAGCGAGGTGGACGTTCGGACGCTGTTGCGTGATTACCGAAATATGATGGGCGGACCTATTCCACTTGCCAAGTACGGCTATAAAGATGCACTAACTTTTCTTAAGGAGCGTTGTGGTGATTGTTTTTTGGTAAGCATATAAATACTTCCAATTGAACTTAAACTATTGTAATTGTATAAATTATAAATTCTTATTAATGTTTAAAATATTTAAGTTTGTTTGCTACTTTTTTATGCTTCAGTGGTTTAACTTTACTGATAGTCACTACTATCAATATGTAATTTGGTATTCATTTACATTTTGGGATGGTGAAGGAATATAGGCTTTTTTTTATACAACTTAGAATGGCAAACAAGCTGACGGCCCACCTGATGGAAAGTGGTGACCGTTGCCTATAGACATGAATAGTACCATGGACATAACAGAGTACACTGTTTCGCCCATGATACCCCCCATGCGTTGCCATTCCTGAGGACTCAGGTGTTATTCCTCTGTACCCAGTAAATTCTACTTATTACTTATCCCATCAAGCCCATCAATCAACATATTCCAGTTATTTGGACGAAGTCATTTGGCAAAAGTTCATACTGTAAATGTGAAAGTTAATTTGTGTGTTTGCTAATTCTTGGCACCTCAACAGAGTCAGATATTTGCATTAAACATGGTTATATTAAGTGTATTGTAATTAATTTTATTGTAATATTTTTACTAAAATACTCTTATGCAAAATGACTAAGATATCTAATAAAAAATAGTGTTATAGTTTACTTTGATTTAATAACTAGAAGTGAATTTTAATTTTTTTTTGTATATATATTCTTTTATTTCTTTTTTTAAGTATGTACCAATATCTGACTTTATTTGCTGTGCTGGAAGTGATGCAATTAAATTATATATCTATCTATTTATTTCATTAGCCTTTTTTATTCTGAAATCAGTTCATACAAAGTAGTAAGCAAGAGGCTAATATGTATATAATATTTTTATGTGTAAATAAACTTATTAGTTCCAGGGGCCAGTGGACAACCCTGTATTGACATTGATTGTACCCAAAACATTACAACACATTGATAAATTTGTACAGAAACAGAAGTCTTCACACAATGTTAAGTTGTAAGTAAATAGTTCTAATGTATATAATAGATTAATTAGGCTTTTCAATAATAATAAATACATAAGTATTTGTAGGTCAATGAGTCCATCCACTACAGTTTTTGATTTGGAGTCTAACATATTCATTATTAACAATATATTCATTACATTATTATCTTCAATTTGGAACATAAGCATATTTTATTACCATAAAAAAAATCTAAAAAATCTATTTAAATTTTTTTTGTTATATTTAATATTAAATTTGCAAGATTTCACATCACCCTATTTGATACAGTCACTTATTCGCGTGTAGCAAGTAATACCTAGTTTTACTAGTTCTCTCATTAGTTTTGTTTATTTTTTAGTAAATATGGAAATAAAAATGCCTTATAAATATTGTACAGTACTGTTATGTACTGACACAAGAGTTGGCGTTCCAGAAAAATAGTTTTATGTATTACAAATATAAAAAAAGAGATTAGTAAGTGGTGAATACACCCCTTATGATGAGGGAGAATATCAAAACATATTCATTATTAGGCAATCATTAATGTAATGCCATTATGAATAACTAAAGAGTGATTAGTAAGTGGTGTATCCTAATGAGGGAGAACATCAGGACATATTCATTATTAGGCAATCATTAATGTAATGCCATTATGAATAACTAAAGAGTGATTAGTAAGTGATGTATCCTAATGAGGGAGAACATCAGAACATATTCATTATCCTAATAATGAATATGAATACATTAATGATTGCCTACAATCATTAATGTAATGCAATTATGAATAACAAAATTGTGATTAGTAAGTGATATATCCTAATGAGGGAGAACATCAGAACATATTCATTATTAGGCAATCATTAATGTAATGCCATTATGAATAACTAAAGTGTGATTAGTAAGTGATGTATCCTAATGAGGGAGAACATTAGAACATTAATCATGACTCCATCATTAAAATGATTTTAAGAAAAATGTCAATTTGTTAATGTAATAACTTAGGTTTATCACAGTAATTAATGTAATAAACCTAAGTTATTACATTAACAAATTGTCATTTTTCTTAAAATCATTTTAATGACTTCACTTATGATTAATATGTTCATTTTATATGGTATTTTATTTGAATAATAGGTAGTGGAATAATAGGTCTGTCTGTGTGGTCCCGGCAGAGAATAGGCCACCCCTTCCTTTCCCGTGGGTGTCATAAGAGGCGACTAAACGGGGGCGGGTGATGGGCAGCAACTTTCCTATTAAAACATCTCCAAAGCCTAACTGCGGTTGCCAATCTGTCTGCCAAGTGTGGCAACTACTGGCAAAAAGAGGGAAACCTATATTTAGCAATAGACAGTTAAAGTCTGATATGTTGATTTGATGAATAGGTCTGTCATTGGCATTGTTTATGCACAGCTTCAAAGAACAGCATAGATGAAGTATGCAGAGAATTATTATTGTGTAGGTATAATTTATAGTGGTTTTTCTTGTAATTTTAGCAAAGGCAAGAGAAGAAGTGTCCCAGAGGCTGTTGTAAAGCCTATAGAACAAACACATATTGAAAATAACATTGTAAAGTCATTTAAACAGCATCAAAGGCTCAATGCAGAGTGTAGCACATTCAACGAGGCTGGAACTGTAGATGTCCATAGTAAAGTGGAGAGCAGTAAGACATCAGTACCTGACATTGATAGATTACAAATAGAAGATAAGCATCACAATCCTGAACAAAATGGTTGTTCTAGGAGTGCACTGAAAAACTTTTTAAAGAAAAGAATGCCATTGTACTGCTCCCAAGAGTTAGACACAGATAAGACAATAAGTGATAAAACATCGTCAAAGGATTCAGGCCGGCAAACGTCCTCAAGTGAGTTTTAATAACTTTGTTTTTGCCTTTTGTTATAATGAGAATAATCACATCAATTCTATTTTATGGTAGCCTCTAGGACTCTAGGTGTTTCCCAACCTTTTTTGGCCAACCGTCATGCCCCACCACTTGAACATTTCTAAAGTTTTTATGCCCCCAAATATATTTTTTCCCGACAAACTTTACTTGACAACTAATCGCCTAGTTGATATTTTGGTAACGGTAAACGGAATTACACTTAATGAGTATTTACAGCATTTTTTTTTAATTTACTTTTTTTTTTTTTTGTTAAATTTGGCACCGATATCTACTCCTAGCATTGCATTTAAATGGCCCCGAGGAAGAGGGTTAAAATCGCTTCCAGTCCATTTTTTAATTGCCCCCTCTTAACTATCAAATTACCCCCTGTGGGGCGTGGGCCTCACGTTGGGAAACACCGCTCGAGGACAACTATTGTTCCTTTTTAAATCTGTTTATAAGCTTTCTTTTATATATGTAATAGTAAACATAGTATCCAGTTACATGTTATACTTGTTCTAATATAATTTAACTTTCTTCTTGACTGAAATTGATTTCCAAATGGGCGCATATATGACTATTCAAAAATGATTATATGTAAGTTTACTTGGATAAAAATGTTTTTTTTTTTTTCTTGAAGTAATTCAATACTTGTTAATTCATGTGATTGAGTGATTATTACCGCATCTATTCATTTGAGATGACTGAGAGCTAGACAAAAAAATATATTTTTACTTGGTTATTTGTTTTTTTTTTTTAGAAATAATAAATTATTATAAAGCAGGTAGCAGGACCTCGAAAGCAGCTCTGTTTGAAGAATTGAAACAAGAGATACAAGACTTGTTAGCTGATTATCCGGATGGAGTTTGGTGTACAGATCTTATTAGGTTGTACAGGTAAGTAACATAAGACTAGTAGTGTTCTTCCCTGATTATGTTCCAGGCATTATGGTTCATTTTGATTGAAATTTTGAATTATAAATGATTATATAACAGATTTTTTTTTAAACTTAATTTGCTCAAGTCATGGAATGAGTTTTCTATCGAGGTTTTTCCAATAGATTACAGCGTGGGGTTCTTAAAAAAGGAGTGAATAGGTTTATTCAGGGTCGCGCGCGTAATGCCCCTGGAATTGCAGGGTAACTGTTTCCCATCAAACGGGCTGTATTGTATTGGGCTTGTTTGCCACCTTAGTGGTATAAAAAAAGACTTAAAAATAGCAAGTCGGTGGTTCATCTAATGGAATATGAAGACTACAGTCTATATAAGTAGAAATGAAAAATATTATAATACGCTGATTGCCAATAAGGGGTGTCGTCATAAATGTTTATTTTGAAGAGACTTGTAGTAGATTATAGTGCAAAGTATGAGTATGCAGTTGTATATATTGGTCTGTGAGGCTACATGTGCACGTGTGGTACGATTGCGACGCAGGGAGAAGCACGGGCGCGAGGTGAACTTCGCGCGGTTCGGGTATACGAGCATCGTGAGCCTGGTGTTCGCGCTGGAGCCGAGCGTGCACGCGGCGGCGGGCGACGCGGGCGACTGGCTGCTGCAGGACGCGCGGCGCGGCCCGCCCCCCGCGGCCGCCACCCGCCGCCGCCACCGCCCGCGCCCCGCCGCCCGCGCCGCTTACCGCCCCGCCGCCGCGCCACACCCAGATGACGCGCTGCCCGGGATTGATTTCGTATGTATTCCCCTACGCTCGCACTAGCGACCCCTCATAACCCCCGATCCTTGTTGCTTATTGCTGCCCCTTAGTATCGACTCAGACTCGTATACAAACACCAGAGGGAGACTTTGTACAAAAGTCGATTGCTTGGGTACCTCTGTCCCATTCGTGTTTCTACCGTGAAGCAGTTGTGTTCGCATGGCTGTGTTTCGGTTTGAAGGGTGGGATATGGCGTGAATTTACTGGGTACAGAGGAATAACACCTGAGTCCTCAGGAATGGCAACGGACGAGGGGTATCATGGGCGAAACAGTATACTCTGTTATGTCCATGGTACTGCTCATGTCTATAGGCGACAGTTACCACTTTCCATCAGGTGGACCGTCAGCTTGTTTGCCATTCTAAGTTGTATAAAAAAAACACTTATGTATGCGTAACTAATGGTCATTTCTCTCTCTCTCTTTCCACTGCACATTTATATATTTGTTTCGTTTTTCTATATTGTCCTCTCACCTCACACATTTACACAATATGATTAATATGAAATTAATGGTTATAAAAATATATAGGTAAAGAACCTATAATTTTTATTTTTTTTTAACCTTCCACACAATAGCTGGATGATTATTTACTAGCTATTACCAGAAATAAAAGAAATTTAAATCTGGATATATTGTTTAATGCGTGTTCTCTAAAAAAATTAAGGCAGGATTGAATAGCAGACAGTCTATTCGTTCCTTTTAAAACATTTCTAAAGGCTTAACTGAGGTTGCCTGCCAAGCATGGCATCTACTGGCAAAACTCCCCTTATGGGGAAGGCTTATGTCCAGCAGTGGACAGTTAACGGCTGAAATGATAATGATATAAATTTGTATAGATTACAATCGTATAGTGTAAGTTGCTATAGACTGGAGATTAGTTTTATCCGCCACGAGTACATGTGAGCGCGCCCCGGCCAGGACCCGGACGTGTTCCCCGAGGACTGCATGCACTACCTGGAGAGCATCCCGGCGGTGTCGCTGCGCGGGCTGGAGCCGGGCGCCATGGTCGAGCTCGTGGTCGGCGAGGTGTACTCGCCCTCGCACTTCTGGGTGCTGCGCCTCGGTGAACGCTACAACATGGCCCTCGACAACCTCATGGACGAGATGACGTTAGTCTATTTAACATATTTGTATTGGGTTGATTGGAAGAGATCTCTGTCAGAGATAAGTCCACACTTGCTCACAACATTTATAGATGCCTTATATTATATATATATATATATATATATATATAATAGTTAAGTAAGTGACAAGTTTTATTTTCATTGGTTGTTAATTCTCATCTCTATCTATCTATCTAATGTATCTAATGAACCACTGGCTGCGCAGTAGTTTTAGGGATTAACACATTCGAACAAACAAGTTTATACACTTTATTGTATTAGTATGCAGATGGGCAAACACATTGTAGTACATACAACTCTCCACTAGATGGAGTGACGACCTCAAATATTGTACAATGCAGGCAGTCAGTGGATGCAGGTGGCTCAGGACCTTTCTTTATGACAGTCTATGGGGGAGGCTTTGTACCAGAGGGAGACTTTGTACAAAAGTCGATTGCTTGGGCCTCTGTCTCTGTCCCATTCGTGTTTCTACCGTGAAGCAGTTGTGTTTGCATGACTGTGCTTCGGTTTGAAGGGTGGGATATGGCGTGAATTTACTGGTTACAGAGAAATAACACCTGAGTCCTTAGGAATGGTAACACATGGGGGGTATTATGGGCGAAACAGTATACTCTGTTATGTCCATGGTACTGCTCATGTCTATAGGTGATGGTTACCACTTTCCATCAGGTGGGCCGTCAGCTTGTTTGCCATTCTAAGTTGTATAAAAAAAAAGGCTTATGTCCAGCAGTGGACGGGTAATGGCTGAAATGACGATGATGATGATTGTATTAGTATAAATAAATAATGCAGTGCGTAAGTCATAATGTTAATAGACAAAACTCGAAGCAGCGAAATGTAATATTTAATATTGAGCTACATTTGTTAACAAGTATGTAATAGTAAAGATATGAATGTGTTGTCGCAGGGAGTACTACACGTCCGGGGAGGGCAAGGACCGGCACCTAGCGGTGGGCGCGGCGCAGGTGGGCCAGTACTGCACCAGCCTGTACGACCGCGACTGGCACCGCTCCATCATCGTTAAAATTATAGACAGCGAAACTGTTAAGGTACAATATATACTATTGAAATGCTTGCCGGTGAAATATTCGCGACTTTAACATTATTTTCCAGGGGAGAAAAGGAGCATATGTACTCTCATCTCCTTGCAAACAGTGTGAATGTGGATGATCATAAGCATGGATTGATCTTTGATAAAAATGGTTTTACTGCGTGAATGATGACGTTACAATGAGAGAGGTTGGCACAGAGTAAAACACACTTGTTGATGGCAGGAAATTGGTGGACTTGAGATTTACTTGAATGAGTACTCTGGTCTTAACCAGTACCTCTTTTATATTAACTTATATGTGCTAATATGGAATATTTATATTAGGAAGTTATTTTATACAATTTCTATGTTCATGGAACGTGTTGTAATTTACGTTGCCATATCATAACATAAATAGAAAGGGGCTGAATGTTGAGATGATGGCAAATAATGATAAACGGTGAACAATGTATTGAACTGACCCATGGGTGGAAAAAGGTAACAGGAGAATTCAAATGAAATCATATTGATTCGCTTGCTACATGGTACAATAAGAAGTTACATATACAGGCACATAACATGCAGCACCCCGCAGAAGTATGCAAATGTTAAACTGTATTTAGTCCACATTATATTACAATTATAAAGTGCAAACATTTTCCAAACTACAATATTCTTTATGTCAAATTATAATTAGATTAGAGATCCACTTTTAGACGGTTTACGTCTCTTCTCATAAATAGAATGTAACTCGTGGTGTATATAGTTTTGTTTATATTTCTTGTGTGTGTGCGGATGACGAGTACACGTGGTGCGGCAGGTGCGGCACGTGGACTACGGCACGGTGGAGAGCGTGCGCGTGTCGGCGCTGAAGCCGCTGCTGCGGCGCTGGGCGGCGCTGCCGGCGCAGGCGGCGCGCGCGCGGCTGGCCGGCGTGCGGCCCGCCGGCGGCCGCCGCTGGCCGCACGCCGCCGCCGCCGCCTTCCTGCAGCGCGTGCGCGACGTGCCGCTCGTCGGCAACCTCGTCGCGCTCGACCACCAGGTGCGTCCGCGCATGCCGTCGCCGCCGCCGCCGCCGCCGCCGTCGTCGCCGATGCCGCCGCCGCCGCCGCCGCCGCGCCCGGCCTCGCGCCTCGCCGCACCCAGCTAACCGTCTGCGCTCGCTCCGCAGGAGGACATCCTGGAGCTGTTCCTGGTGGACACGAGGGGCGACGAGGACGTGTGCATCGGCGACGAGCTCGTCCGCTACGGCCACGCCGACCCGCGCTCGGACTCCGTGCTGGCGGTGAGTACCGGCCTCTCGCCGCCGGCGGCCGCGCCCGACCTGCGCTCGCTCGTGTCGGCCGTGTCGAGCCTGCGCGCGTCGTCGCCGGCGCCCGAGCCGGCGGACGACGCGAGCGAGGTGTCCGCGTCCGCGTCGGAAGTGGTGGGCCGCGCGCCGCGCCGCCTGCCCACGTGGGACTGCGGCTCGTCGCCGGCGCCGTCGCTGCGGCTGGCGCGGCTGCGGGCTCAGCGCCAGCCCAGCACGCCGCCGCCACCGCCGGCCCGTGGCGGCTGCAGCGCGACGTCGCTGCGGCTGGCTCGGCTGCGGGCGCTGCATACAGCGCCGGCGGCTGCGCGGCCGCCCTCCGAGCCCTCGAGCGGCTCGGACGCCGCGAGCAGCGTGCTCACTGTCAGCAGCCGGTTGCTGCAGCGCCGACGCGTCCTGGCCGGGAAGCTCAACGTCCACACCTAATTTTCCAGTTGACGGACGATGTCGGCGTACCGCGGACACATTATACGATTATCTACGTAATTTATTTGCATTTCCTGTGCATATGAACACTATTAAGTTTCACAGTGAATCGAATGCGTCCGAGGAAGTCGCTTTTCGATTATTAATATACCAGAAATAGTTTGATATTACATAGCAGACTAACATATTAGTAGCTGACATCTAACGATTATTGAGCAACGCTACCAATATTTAAAACAGTAGCAAAAATTCAATTTGCCGCGATCATGTTGCATTTAACTATTAGCGAAATTGCTCGAATGGTGCTAAATTATATCATAATAACTAGATAAACTCTAGAAAATAAGTTAAGAGCTAGTTTAAATTTCAACTAAAATTAAGACCAGCCGGCCGACGGTCTTCACCTCAAAATTGAGGTGACGCTCTGTCCGGCTCCCTGCGCAAGTGACAAAGGATTCCATCGACGGAACCTTTATAGCGAGAAATCAAATGTTGCAATCTCATTCTATCTCATGATCTCCTTAGAGAGAAAATTTTCATAGACGGTTTTGTTTGCCATTTGTCAAGAAGGTTGTTTAGTCAGTGCTTTTAGTGCCAGTTTGCGGGATATTTTGAACTGTAAAATTGTTTGGTTTTGAGCATTCATAATAAAACCCCACTTGGTTGTACAAAGCAATATTTAATACATTAGTTTAATAAAAAAAAGACTGCTGTTTCTGGCTAACATCAAATTTTAAATTAATTTTTTCCTCAACAATTTTGTAAAATTGGCTATAGATTTATTTTGTTATATTTTGTCACATTCGCCTTGTGTGCTTTTATACCGGCATTGCATTAATTAAATCGACTGCTTCTAGATAGCATATCAATTAACGATACAAATACGAGGACAGCAGTTTTTAAATTAGAAATTCAGGTACACAACAAACCGCATCTAATTTCGTGCAGTCGTTTTCGCGTGATACCGGAAACAAACTCAGTCAGACAGATAGTTTTTTTTTTTTATATAGATTGTTATTATTAAGATCAGTAGGTTTTTCTTACATATCTCCCATGTACGTACAGACATCGTGGTACATATATAAATATTCCTCGAACTGTGTGCTGAAAGTACATCCAAGTTTATATCTATATCTATCCCAAGAATGTTATGAAATTCTTTTGTTATTTACGTTATACAATTGTGGGGACATGATCGCACGAAATCGCATGGAAAGTGCAGTAATGCATCATGCGTAGGTATATGTATGTATAAGTATCACGTATACATGATGCTCTTACTACCCTTTTGGGAACGCTTAGGCGGACGAGCACGCGTCGGTAGATGGTCACGGTCGCGGTCGCGGTCGCGGTCAATAGTCAACAGTCAGCACGTGACTCGTGTAAGATAGGCAATAAACTGTGCGCAGCGGACCGAGGCCGCGCCAGGCGGCCGGCCACCGACCCGCGCCCGTAACCGCCGGCCATCCTTGCAGGCGCACGAGCACCACCTGCGGCCGAGCTTCTGCGCGCTCGAGACCGGCGCCACGCCCAACTTCCTGGAGATCGCCAGCTACCTGCGCGACGGCATCGCGCTCGAGTACGTCGACGACTTCCGCCGCCACGTCTACACCGGCCTCTCGCCGCCGTCCTCGCCGCCGCCCTCGCCGCCGCCCTCGCCGCCGCCCTCACCACCGCCCTCGCCGCCGTCCTCGCCGTCGCCCGTGTCGCCGCCCGCGTCGCCGGCGCCGCCCGCCTCGCCGCCCGTGGCTGTCGTCGACCGCTTGTCGCTACTGCCGGCGGCGCCGCCTCCAGCCACACCCGCCGCCACGCAGTCCTCGATCCTCAAAATCGCCAGCACTGGCGCCGGTTCGAGCTCGACCGGAAGACTGATCTCGATGTCCGATTCCCAGTCAGCGCAGAAACTGGATGGGCTGCGGCCGGCCCCGCCCAAAACCGCGGCGTCCGATAAGGGAGTCGTGACGCTGACGGCGGCCGAGTGCGACACGTTCCAGCTGCTGAGCAGCGTCGACACGACCGCGGCGCATTGGTACATGCTGAGTAAGCTGGGCCGCGCGCCCTCCACTCTCACCCTGAACGTGGCGGCGCCCGAATTCAAGCCGAGCGTCCCGGTTGCTGCACCGCTGCTGCCGCCGCCACCGCTGCCGCCGCCGTACGCCGCGCCGCCATGCTCGTACGCGCCGCTGTACGTGCCGTCGTACCCGGCGCCGCCCGAGCCCCGGCCGGGTCCGGCCCTGCTGCGGGGCTGGGGGCCCCCGCCGCCACCGTTCTGGTCGTACTCGGGGCCGCCGCCCGGTTTTTGAGCTCTTTGAAAGGAAGTAACGAGCGGAGTCGCAACCGCGCCGTCCGCTGCTCGTCCGCCTAATTGTTGAATAGAACGTATCCGAAATACGCATTGGTCGTATTTAGTGTTTTTTTTTCGTAACTTTTGTGATATCCAGAGACAATATTTGCCATAAAAATCTTATGTATATATAAAATTTATATTCTTTTTCAAACGACATTTTTTTAATCACTCAGAATTTTTTTTTAATTAATCGATGCTGTTTGATTTTCTTTTTTTGTTGTTATTAAAAATGGGCTAAGCGTTACCTACTTTCTATTAGTAGTGAGTTAAAGTTTTTATTCATTATTTTGTTTAGAATATGTGTAGATATTATATTAATATTTGAACACTGTACAGGACCACATGTTGACGTATCTCAAATAGTTAACTACACTTGTCCATGACATGTATTGTTCACGGCTTGAACCGACTGTTATGGTCTCTGTACACGCTCAAGTAGCTTGACTTGTGCATCTCTTTATTGAGTTTGTGAAACGACAAAGACGATATAGTTCTGTTTCTACACTACAAATTGTGAAAAGTATAGGTTTGACTCTAGAAACTTGATCGTTTACAGACCTCTTTAATATTTGTATTTCTTTGCCAAATACAAATATTAAACATATAATATATTAATAATAATAAAATCTAAAGCATACATAAGACTAAGTGTTGTTAAAACTAATTATTTTTTTATAAATTTATAAAATATTTTTCATATAAAATATTTTGTGACTGATTAAATTGTTCATAGCATGTTGGTGCTATGAAATGTCTCATTTGTTAATTCTAGGTACCTGTACTCGATAGATATAATAATGTACATAATTGTACACTTTGTATATAAATTTACTAGTTAGAGTATATTAATCTAATTTGTCATTTTACAACTTGTGCATTTGTTGAAATAGCAAAAAAAAAATCAAGAGGGAGCTTCCCGTGAAACTATGTCTGCATCGATAAATTTTATATGAATAACAAACAAACCTATTTCAGCTTTGAAGTATTTTGACATTTTTTTTTCAAATTAAGAACTCAGCGTAAAAGAATAATATGATTTCAAAAACTAAAATAGGTTCATGAGAGATTTGACGTTTTTTTTTATAAATAAGGGGTTTACATGCCCCATTATTTACGCGGATTAATATTTCAATTCTACAGGAGTGTTTGTGTAATACGTGCGTAGAAATTACAGAGACATTTCGATTATTATACAAGTAGCGTCAAATTCTTATGAAGTAATCAGTGATTATCAAAGAAATAATTAATACAATTCTATAATAAAATAATTTAGAAAAATACATCAAATATCAAAGTACAATTATATTAATGTTTGTCATTTCATAGATGTTATAATAACACTTGTTAATCAATGGCCTTTTCAATTTAATTTTGAACATATTCGTGTTTAGTGTTTTATATTTTTCTGAAATTTTATTTTACCCTTTTGGGGCCATACGTATGATACTTATTCTGATGTTGATTTTTAATAGATTTTTTTCAAAATGGGAAGCTGAAATTTATTTGTAACTTTTCTATGGCCTCAGTATATTTTTAATATTACTAATGACTTCGGTTGGACCGTGTAGTTATGTTGCAAATGTCAACAATTATCACCGCACTAGTACAGTGTGTAAGTGCGCCATTTTGAAATAGGTATATATAAGAATTTAACATATAAAATAGACATTAGCATTTACTGGAAGCACCTTCTTATTTTGTATAAAAACAAAAGTGAGTTGTAAAAAGTAAGAAATAAATGTCTCCAACAGGGGAATGTGGCATTTATTCCTATTTTATTTTTTAATTACTGTCAAAATAATCACCTAACGATAATCAATAGGTGATTATTTTGACAGTATTAGTTTATATATTAGTGATAGTATTAATTTGACAGCATTTTATTGTGTTATCTGTTCAGAGTTTCCTTTTTTAAAATTTGCCATTATCAGTGGTGTGTTTGCAATAGTGATGTTTTGAATACAAACGGTTCATTAGTTCATCACAACAAATAATTCAGTATCATAATAGAGTGAGAAAAACTTTTTTTAAGATTGTTTCTATATGTGCTCTTAACGCTTTTTATTTTCTTTACAATTTATTTTTTTAGAATGTAAGATAAATATTGTTTGGATGACGTGGACTCGATCCAGACGTTGATCATATGCATCGTTTAACTAATTGATTGTCTCACGTGTCATCAATGTTGTGATTCACAACAACTGCTAGTATAAGTATAAATGATGTAGTCATTAGTTTATTGTTGGCCTATAACTTGTTTACCTCAAACTGTTGTTGATTATCGCTATTGATTTATACTGTGATAAAATATTAGCTGAAATCCATAATAAAATAGACTTTTATTTCTATAAAATTTCCTTTTTCCCTTATTACCTTATACTGAATAGGTATCAGGAGGTTGTGCTACAGGTATTTACTTGTCGAAATTTTTGCCTTAAATAGTAGTAATAGTATTCTTTGGAAGAATGAACTAAATAATACATATACCTACTTGCTGGTTGGTGCAAGGCAGGACTGGAACAGTATCTATACAGATAGTTACTCTTTATTGTTTCCTCCAAAAGATTACAATAGTAAACTTATCATAAATTAAATAATTACAAAAAATAATCACAATGAGAAAACAATGGGCGAACTTATCGCTAAAAGCGATCTCTTCCAGGCAACCTTTGGATGGATGGATGATGGATACAGTATACTTAAATCATATATACTCTCTCCATACAAATGCATAGACAAAAACAGGTTAACACTGTAAATTTGTAATGTATATATAAGCTTACATTAAATAGCTAGATTGACTCCATACAAATGCTTCAAAAAAAGCGGGTCAACCTTTTCATATAATTGTGGACACGAGAGTGTTACCAGATTAGAAATTATTACTTTAAGGTGAAAAGTACAAAGGTACAGGTCGTACGGCACCTTAAAATATTATTAGGGTTAAATAATCCTTTATATTTAACTTTCTTTATATATTTGAATAACATTATTTATTTACTTATTAAGAATAATGCGTAGATAAAGAATAAAAAAATAATAGATGGAACTTTTACATTGCAAATAGTAAAATTTTGAAGTGAATGTTGGAAATCGGTATTTGTGAATCTATATATACTATAAGTATGGATAGACAATACTAAGGGCAAATGTATACTAAATGTAACGTTTAAAATTAATTTGATTTAATGATTTATAGTTTACATCTAATTCTATATAAATCTATAGAAAGCTCATTGGAATACAAGATAGAAATGAAATGGTAACCTTTTTGTACTATACGGTATATGCTGGAGTATGGACTACAAGATACTTCGCGGTATTTGATTTTATTGTCGTTATGGAAAACAAACTTGGAATTTAACCAAATCGCTAGACAAAAAACAAGTTATAAAAAATAATTTTGCTAGATTTATCTTAGTCGCAGCCGAGAATTGAATTAAGGATTCATTTACAGCAATTTGCTTCATCAATTCTTTTATTCGTTATAAAACAGAATTCAAACTAAATCACATATCTATTAGAAAGATTAAATAAAACTAGTTTAAAATAATTATAAATAAAATCAAATTAAATCCAACATAAAATATGTTTTATTGACTGTAATGGTGTATGAGTTTAGTACAGTAACTAGCACTAACTTGCCTATTTTACTATTTGTTACTTCCTAAGAATAGAATTAGACTTAATTGTGTAAGGGAAACAATTTGCAGTTCATTGCTCTCACTCGAATAATTAAATATAAAGAACTTTAACAGCGGTCAACTTTTCATTGGTTGTCAGGTACGGCAACCGGGCTGTAAGTGTAGCGTTGCAGACGATAATTATAATAAATTGCCTAAGATTATGTATTAGGTCAATCGTGATGCTAAATTACAGTGTTATAGACAGAGTTAATAACAAAAATTATACTTGTAGTAGAATTTCTTATTTTTATATGGCAGGACCACATTCAATAAAAAAAATATGATAACAAACATGGCGCGATAGAAAGAAGCGTCTTCGTATGGATTTGTTTATTAGGTCAACGTTTGTATAAGGGATAATTGTCTTTACAGATTATGTCGTCACATACAAGGGGGCGGAATCTCCATGTTAACGTGCGGAAAAGGTAACGAGCCCCATATATTGTCACGAGATTGAAGAGTTTGTCACCTACTAATACTACTGTAGGTATACCTACCTAGAGTAGTAGTGAATGTGATGGGATGATGACAGGAGGTGCCGGGGCGAAGGCGCTCGGCGGTAGACGCGTGTGCGGGTGATATGCAAGCGGCGCCGGCGCGCTACGTGTCAGTGAGCGAGCTGTATTCTACCGACGAAGTGGAGCTGTTGCTTGACGAGATTCGCGAACTGGAGCCCACGAGCTGCCGCGGCGAGGACGTGCAGGTCAGGGAACTTTCTACTATACACTCATTTAGTAATACACTATCATGTTACTGGTGTACATGATCTTGTACTGAACTATTACGATGTATTTAGTTAATACTAACTTAAGGTATTCCATGTACTTGTCTTCGGGAATTAATATGAAAATAATGTTATGTGTAAACATGGGATATGGTCTCTGTGTACTAAATTTAGCTGAAAATTGTCTATTTACGTTGTATTTGTGTAACATGTTACCAACTAACTCACCAACTTTTCCTTCATCATCACAACTACTATCTGTTGCTCCAGTAGCGACATATGCCTCCTCTAACACTTTCCAATTTGATCATTTTCAACATATTGTACATTTTAAACATGTCATCAGTCTTTTATAGCTTTTATCTGCTTGGTTTTATCTTCTGTGGAGACAGTCTGGTCTTCATTTTAGAACAATGTTTGAGAAATGGTAATTATTTGATCTCCATGGCATAAAATATAGAGCAAAACAGATTATGAATTATTAAGAACAAAAAAAAATGTAACAGTGCAACCCTGTATTTGTTAATAAAGTTTTATTATTGTTATTTAGAAAAAGACTGTAGTTCAGAATATAGTAAAGCTGAAGACATATTGTTTCTTGGTCTTGTTTTAGTATTTCTTTTATTATTAATTATTGTGTTATTACAGGTTATAGGTTTCTCCTTGTAAGGTGATAAGATGTTCTCCATTCATATTTGTACTAGGTATATAAGGGTTCATATGAGAAAACATAAGTTTTTTTATAGGCCTTTTGATATATAGAATTTGATTTCATTGTGAGTTTTAATATCAGGTTTTCAGTTTTGGTAAATGAGTATAAGATAGCTTTCAACCACTGGATCTTAATACCTCCTAGTACAAGGTACCTATTAAATATTAATGGTTCTACTCTCTGCATCATTATTTATTCTAGTAGTTGATATCTTTTAAAACAGTGTGTACATGCTTGACAGTATGTTAAGGTCATTTATATTTTTTGTTTACGGTGAGGTGCCTTAATGAGTTTGGTGGATATTATGCAGTCTACATTCATCTGTATTGTACTATATTAGGCACTAGTAACTCATATTTTAATTTGAGTGTTACATAAATCATTCTATTGTTAATTTTTAAAGATAAAATTTAATTTTCACTAAATGATAGATAATTTCTTTTAATGAAAATAGTTTATTATTGATATCTCATAGCCAGTGCTGTTAGTATGAAAGAAGTAACATATACATGTTTCCAGCTTGAAATTATCACTGCAGTTTAAAATAAAGTTACTTTTGCTAGAACAACATATATTAATTGTTTTGGTATTCCTATGTCTAATTAGGTTTTAGGTATAGAAGTTGTCACTGATAATTACTATGGTATAGGTTTGTTGTTGTGGCAGTGCTGGCCTCAATATCTGTGATCCATAATGTAGGTGATAATGTGGTTTGGTGCAGGACTTCGAGATCGCGGGCAGCGGGTGCGAGGGGTGCGGCGGCGGCGGCGGCGGCGGCGCGGGCGCGGGTGGTGGCGGGCGGTCGCCGGCCGGCACCGAGCTGACCGAGCGCTCGTGGGACTCGCACGCGCACTACCGCCGCGAGCCGCCGCCGCGCCCGCGCCCGCTCGCGCCGCTCTACTGCCGCCTGCGCCTGCTGCTCGGCCTGCGCGGCGCCTGCACGCTGCTGCTGCTGGTCGGTGCCCCGTCCGCGCCCGCCGCGACCGCTCTCCTGCGGTCTGCTGCGCTCTGCTGCGCGGCACTCTACTAACCGTGGCTCGCTGCCGGCAGGCGTGCTGTGCGGGCGCGTGCGGCTGCGTGTGGGCCGCGGCGGGGCTGCGCGCGGCGCAGCTGCCGCTGGCGGCGCGCGTGCAGCTGCTGCAGCTGGCCGCGCTGTCGTCGCTGCTGCTGCACGCCGTGCTGCTGGCCATGCACGTGACCGGCCTGGCCGCGCTGCTGCCCATCGACTGGGCCAAGCTGGGCGCCTGGACGAGCGTGTGGAGCGGCGCGTCGCTGTGCTGCGGCGGCGCGCTCACGCTGCACGCCGTGCTGGCCGCGCCCGACTACCGCTGGGCGCCCGCGCACCTCGCGCGCCTCCTCCTCTCCGCCTCGGTACGCTCGCCCCTCTCATTGTTTCCCACTCACTTCTGTTTTCATATATGATAAAAGAACTACCAGAGACAGACACTTTTATCGAAGTCAGTCCTTGCATAATTTATAGTTCACTTGTTGCCATCTATACAACAAGTGGGACGTCAACTGGTAGACCCCTCTTAAGGAGGAGATCTACTATCGACAGTGGACAGTTAACAGTTGATATGAAACAAAATAGAATTAGGGGCACGGTTGATAGTTGGCGGTGTGGGTTGCAGGGCCTCGGGCTGGGCGGCGCGGGCGCGGCAGGCGTGCTGGCGGCGGCGGGCGCGCGGTCGCTGTGCGCGTGGCGGCCGCTCGGCCCCCCCGCGGGCCGCCCGCCGCGCGGCTCGCGGCCGTCCCGCGGCTCGGCCGGCTCGGCCGGCTCGGCCGGCTCGCTGCGCTGCGCCTACCGCGCCGTGCCGGCCGCCGCCAGCGCCGCGCCGCTGCCGTCCACGTCGCGCGACCACCCCTTATAGTGACGCCCGCCGCCCACCGACTTCTGAGCGGCCGGCGCCCGCGACGATCTCGATGGCGTGTCCTGCCGCGCGACTCGTGCCCCGTGCGCTGCGATGTTGCGCTCGTGTTCCGCGCCCGTTCGCGTATCTACTCGATCGATCTCCATTGTTTCCGTTCTCGTATTATATAATCTGTTACTCTTTGCGTGGAGTGGACAGTCGGTGCGCCCCTTGTGTGTGTGCGTGGGATAAAGTTGAATATGCAGAAGAGAAGCCGTAAAAAAAAATTATCTAGTCGTAGAGGAAGAATTGTCCCGGCTACCTCGTTTATGAAGTATTGAAGCTTTGCGCCGACCATAGTGCGGAGCCTCGCATGGATTACATCTATTTACGCAGATACGTCGCGTACGCGGCAACGTAGTCGTAATTTCTTGCACGGTCCAGAATTTATGCTCACAAGTACATCAATTGTAATATCCCCATTTTGTCATGTTTTTCGTTATTCTATATACAAATTTATTTAAACCTATTACAAAAAAAAAAAAAAAAACCTTTTCATAACGAGCATGTACTAATTTTAGTAAAAAAATATATTATAAATTAGACATGTTGTGTAATGAATACTTCAAAGACTGAGTCAAATGTAAACTCTGTGTAAATGAAAACTGTAATACTTATTAAATTGTTGTGAAACATTGTATAGTATAATAATATTGTACATATATTTGATCGATTTCTGTGTGTTTTCTTATAGTGAGAATCTGTAACTAGCTTTAAGATTTAACATTTACACGTTATACGCACAAAAATCTGCGTCTTCATAAACACTTGATTAGTCTTATGTTCACACTGAACTATGCTCCGCGCAAAGCTTCGTCTTCGTACAAACGATGTTTCGAGAGAGCCAAGGAAATATTGATACGAATGGGCAAGCCTTGTGTTAAACACTCGCATCGACACACTACGACCAAATTGTTGGTATCCTGAGGAATTCTCGAAACCAACGATCTTTATGATTATATAGAGAGTAATGAGGATATTCTAGAATGAGGAGTAATTGTTGTTCCATAGTTTCTACTTACCTCTCAATGGGAGAAAGTCGTGAGTTTATATATATAAATATAATATTCTTTACGCGAGTCTGATTTTGATGCTAGTCATTTTATTAGATTTGATAAGCGTTTATTCATCGTATATTTAATTATGCATTGACATTCCTCGAGTAGTTTACGTACTGCACAAGTATTTCACAGTCCAGTTACATTTTATACGTTGTTCCGATGGCGTCCGTTCGTTTGTTTCTCTGTCCTGATCTCCTATTCGTCCAGTTGGTATAAGTTGTATTTACACGCATTAGAGGTTGACTATTGAAATGTATATTATACCAAGTCAGGGGTACGTTTCTAGTTTAAGCGAAGTATATAACGGTGTCAAGTAATAACTGTTGTGTAGCGGCGACGGGCGGCCGCGGCAGTGTCCCGCCCCGTGTGTCCAAAGTTCATTTCGACGTGACGCTTGTAATGGATCAACTTGTTTGCATGATATATATATATATATATATATATATATATATATATATATATATATATATATATATATATAATGATGTTCATAAGCGAAATATAGTTAGTACGTAAGTGAAGTTCGATTGTAATAAGAATTGTTATAGGAAATAATTTTATACTGTCTGGTCTGTCGTACACGTTCCATGAGCTTAGGATCTTTGTACTGTTGTTTAGTTTCTACTGTGGACCGCGTGAACCGTGCGCTGCGGACGCGTCCGTGTACTCGTCCATGTATTTATTCGCATTTATTGCACTATGTAAACGGTTTACGAGTCTGTTTCTCTCTTGCTCAATTTATTTGGTACACAATCTTGGCATGTCTTGGAAAGAATGGGAAATAATCAATAATTAAATCAATTGTTTTTATTATATTAACAGGGACTTTCTAGAATTAGGTTGTAGTTGTTTGAAGGAAATAAATAACAACTAATTTGATTATATTATTGATTCACATATAATGAGAGAATGACAGCAGAAATGATTGTGAGAAGTAAACGTCACCGTCATGTCTGTACGTCCAGTGCGAAAGATAGAAAGAGGCGAAATGTCTATGTACAATTGAATTAACCTACTTGATGGAAAAGAAAGTAATGATGTTGACAAGTGGCTATGAGATGAATATTTACAATATTTATTTACAGACGCCACAAGGTGTTTGTGTTAATTGATTGTATACAATAGTAGATTATATTTTTTTGGCTTGTTTCATTTTGAAAGTAATTTCAATAAAAAGATATGCCAATACTGTTTACTAAATATGTCGAGTAATTCAAAAGCAGAATGTATTTATATTCTATTTATCAATATTATTGGATACATTTATGCAATTTCTTTTTTTTTATATATAATTGTACACTCCATACATATCACAATGAAATATTGTATTTTTTTTTAAATATTATTTACATTTTACTGTATTTTTTTTTTATAAAACCTATGTTGACGGCCATTCGTTTTACTGAGTTGCGTGCGATTTGGAATGCTTTGTGTGTTACTTGTATTGTAAGTGCCGAATGTGTGCTCTGTTTTTCACACTTGGCACTTTGTAAACAATCTTAGCATGTCAAATAAATAGTACATAAAACGAACAAATCCTTAAGAGGTTTTCTTTCAATGATTTTTATTTCCTTTGAAAAAAAAAAACCAAATCAAAGATGTGCTAAGATTATTTATTTAATATGCTAAGTTATAAAAAACAGACAACTATTATATGTTCACGTTCACGAGAGAGCTACCTACCATAAGTGACCGTGTACGGTGAGTCATTTTTACTTTAAAATTTTAACGATAATATATGGTTTTATACAATTGTGTAGTTTTTATATCTTATATCGTACGCGGCAGATAATATCGTCAAATAATTTATGGCCATTATCCAAAATCACAGCACTAGATATGAGATATCAAGATTTTAAAGTTCATAATTGCTTTTTATCAAATAATCGTAATCAAATCAAGTGGCATGTCGCAGACGACTTGTTCAAGTCGGTATTTATTGACTTGGCTAACGGAACGTAACAATGTAGAAATGTCTTTATATGGCCACCTTAAATGCGTATACGTTTGTTAGAGTTAGGCTAATTGTGATAGAAATTGTTCTTATTTATCGGTTTCTATTACCATGTTATCCAGGAGGATTAATATTTCTATACTGGTATAATGTCGAACTTTAATATTAAAATAAATCTATCCATTAGCATCAATTCAATATCAAATACAAGTATGGCATAAAAGGTACTTTTTACTTATTGTGGTCCTTCGAGCCGGATATCTCATATGGCATAAATTATACGATGAGAAATAGATATTACGTAAACTATTACGTAGTACGCCTTACGCCACAGTCGAAGTTAAAAAGATCTAATAGGGTTCATGGATACTTTATTTAAAGTCCTTTACCAATTAATTATTCCTTTACTATGTTTACATATAAAGAAGGTCAAATTAAAAATGTTCAATAATTAGGAAATAATCACACAAATCTAGATAAGATAAACTAACAAAGATAAAAAAGTAACTAGAAATGTTATCAAGAATCGGTATTTTTTCTTTTCTCTGCACCAATATTAGTTAATTAATATTCTAAACGTTCTTCAATAAAGATTACATTAATTATTAGGAAAAAGACGCCGGTAAAAAAACAGTGTGAAAATTTTTAACATTACAATACTAGCTTTGTTTGAACTTTGGATGTTTTCCAAAATTAGAATTTAACAAATATTAAGGACGGATAAAGGTGCGATAAAATAGAATGACGGGGCGGCTCCAGTCGCCGTTGTCTGTGGACGAATCGATGAAAAGTGAGAGTGGTGTGCTCCGGGACTACTACAGCGACACAGACTACCTGGTGTCGCCGAGCGGCGTATTGAAGATTGCATCTGTTGTAAGTCATTTATTGGTCGGAGAAACACGCCCTTTGTGCACATTTGTGAAAAGAACTGTCCCATTGCTAGCAGAGGGATGGATTAATGGGGCAACTGCCCTTAGTTCAGAGGGAGATTGTGTACAAAAGTCGATTGCTTGGGTACCTCTGTCCCATTCGTGTTTCAACCGTGAAGCAGTTGTGTTTGCATGGCTGTGTTTCGGTTTGAAGGGTGGGATATGGCGTGAATTTACTGGGTACGGAGGAATAACACTTGAGTCCTCAGGAATGACAACGCATGGGGGGGTATCATGAGCGAATCAGTATACTCTGTTATGTCCATGGTACTGCTCATGTGTATAGGCGACGGTTACCACTTTCCATCAGGTGGACCGTCGGCTTGCTTGCCATTCTAAGTTGTATAAAAAAAATACTCTGGCAGGTTGCTTCCGCGTGGTTCCTCCTGGAGAACCATCATGCTGAATTTTAGCTGTATTCATCACGATGAACTAACTGACCTGCCTTGTCAGTTTCACCTATCATCCGTCACTGGAGCCCCACCGGTGTATACCGTTAGTGCGGACGAGTATTGTTCATAAATTAACGGCTCTCAATGTTTTGTGATGAGGAGATTCAGCATTCAGCGGTTAATAACTGAAATGATGAAGCTGCGACCTGTATTTTACCATAAACATGGATATTTTGTCTTGCACCGTTCAAGGCAGTTGTTTGTTTTAGAATTTTTTACTGGATGCCTTTGTTCCTTCTATTGAAAATTTGTACCTGTATCACTAAATTGTGGCAGGATCCTAGGTTTTGTCCGGCACCGAATATCTTTTAGATGGCGTGGTACTCCCTAATGGTAAATAGTATAACATATGGCAACGCATGGGGGGTATCATGGGCGAAACAGTATACACTGTTATGTCCATGCTACTGCTCATGTCTATAGGTGACGGTTGCCACTTTCCATCAGGTGGGTCGTCAGCTTGTATGCCATTCTAAGTTATATAAAAAAAAATATAAATTTGGACTTGCGTAACATGAATATTTTAAATAAATACAATGAAAATATTGCTGATGAAGCCGGGAAACGGGGCATCGGAATTTCATAATAGCATACTCCAGTCCAGTTGAGTTTGGACTCGTTCGTATGGTGTCATGGTATCGTTTAGTACCTATATATGATATCGGAACTCTACTAATGGAACCAGAAGGGTAATAAGCAACATTATTTTGCGATCGCGCTGCGTAACGTCATGGTGTGGTGTGCGGCGCCAGGTGGTGTCGGTGACGGCGGCGGCGCTGTTCCTGGGCGGCGGCAGCTGCGGCGCGGCGCCGGGGCTGGCGGCCAGCGCGCCGTCCGTGGCGCTGGCCGCGGCCGCCGCCGCCGCGCTGCTGTGCGCCGGCGCCGCCCTGCGCGTGCCGCTCTTAGCGCCGCAGCTGTGGCTCTACACGGTTGGTACTTGCTCTCTACAGACTCTCACCACCGTAACAATTCATTAACGTCCCCCTGCTACCTACTTAATACGATGTCTCCGAAAGCGTTGTCGAATTATGTATACTTCGACAACGCTTTTAAATTACCTTAATAATTATAACATTTCTTTAATAATCACGTGAACGTGCGATTTCTTTTATAATTATTTTATTCAATGTGGAGTAGTGAACGGACCGATGGCACACCTGATGGAAAGTGTTACAGCACTCAATGATATCTATAAAGAGCAGTAGCTGTAACGCTAGTCGAAGCTCTCATTTTTTTTTGATGGGTGAAAATAGTATGGTAACCCCGCCTCCGCTAACATGATACGCTGGCGGAGCACCAGTGAAGGGTGATCGATAAGAATGAAAACAGGCCAGTTAGCCCATCATGATGAATTCATCAGGAATTAACCATAATAGTTTCCAGGGGGAACCGCGTGGAGGTCGACCTGGTATATTGTTAGCAATGGGATTCTCAGTCTCCATTACTAACAATCCCTTTCCCCCAGCTCTCATATTTGAGAAAGTGTTTTGGGTACTACTATAAACCACAATTTATTTACTATATACCTATTCCGTCTGCGTGCCGTGTAGTCCCGGCATAGAATGGGCCATCCCTTTCCCATGGGTGTCGTAAGAGGCATCTAAAAGAACTCAATGGTCGAGAAATAGGCAGCAGCATCCCTCTTAAAACATCATAAAGTGTAACTGTAGTTGCCAACCCGTCTGCCAGGCGTGGCAACTACTGGTAAAACCCCACATGGGGAAAGCGTATGTTCAGCAGCTAACAGCTAATATGATGAATATAGATACCACCTAGAAATATCAAATATTAGTTTTTAACTAGGTAGGTAGTATGTCAGGGATGGCCAACCGGTTGTTCACGACTGTTAGTCCAGTCGATGGTGGCAAGGCAAAAAAATATAATATTTTGCTAATCTAGCGGAAGATGCTCGGACGCAATGCTCACACTAATATAAATAAATAAGTAGTCACTGAGAATAATTTTCAGTTTTATGTTTTCCCTCTTAATAAAATAAAAAATACTACAATACTACCTAATTGTGTACTAAACTATGTTGTTTCATTTGTGATTTCAAGAAGTATGTAATTGGTAGAACGCACAGGGTTTCGTCAGTAAACAGTAGAGCTTAGATCTAGTCAAGTTGACCATCCCTGGTCTAATTAATACGTAATTATTATATCGATTTTAATATGGACACCGTTGTGTACGTTTCCAGGATATAATAGTGTCGACGGTGATGGGTGTGCTGCTGCTGGTGTCCGCCATCCTGAGCATGACGCTGTGCGACCTCGCCCGCCCCCTCGACTATGTACACGGAGTTAGTTGGCATTCAGTTTTATAATAATTTCCTAACAGTATTCTCCTTCACGTAAAAGTTAAAGCAGTTGTGTTTGCATGGCTGTTTTGGTTAAAAATGCAGTGAAATTTACCAGAGGGAGACTGGATATATAAGTTCTCTGCGTGAACGTCTATGCCGCTCAAGTCCCTGTTGTGAAGTTGTGTTCCCATAGCTGGAGCTAAATATGCACAAAAAACAGTCATCTCTTTTATTATGACGATAAAGATGGTAGAAACTTTTTTTTTAATGATTATAAATGAAATGGGTTTGAAGGGTGGGATATGGCGTGAATTTACTGGGTACAGAGGAATAACACCTGAGTCCTCAGGAATGGCAACGCATGGCGGGTATCATGGGCGAAACAGTATACTCTGTAATGTCCATGGTACTACCAATGTCTATAGGCGACGGTAACCACTTTCCATCAGGTGGGCCGTCAGCTTGTTTGCCATTGTAAGTTGTATAAAAAAAAATAAAAAAAAATCCCACCCTCCCTTTTGCATAACTAGCAGGCGTTTCGATTTTATCGTAGTGAAATAATGGATACTAATTGGATTAAAATGGAATGGCAACCTCGATTGTCCTATCGTTAGGTATATGTTGGCGATGTTTTAGCGTTAAATGATAGTTTAATAATTGTTAATTTAACACTGCACGTATAAACATAGATACATGACTCCATAGGTGAGATTGACGTTAGGTCAGTTGGCCCATCGTGACTGTTTCATTTTTCATTAACAATTTATATTACAATAGTTTTTACAGGGCACCACTTGGAAATCAGGTGGTAAGGCTTAATATAAAAGCTTAAGTTTGTTACCAGTGAGACCACAAAATAATGATAGGGACAATAATCGGCCATTGTCCATTAAATAGACATTTATACACAATAGGAGCCACAGACAGTCCTCTATGTCGAGGCTATTTCGACGCCGAAGAAACGGCTGCTCACGTAATCCTGGAATGTGAGGCTGTGGCCCATCAACGTTTAGAAATCTTCGGAACGGTGAGATCGCTCCGTGAGGCCTATGAAGATTCCAGGAAGCTTCTGTGCTTCTGGGCGGAGCTAGGTTGGCTGCACTAGCCACTCATACGCACAACGGCCCAAATGAGAGGCTAAGCGCGGAAAATAGAGTCTTTTTCACATTTACATAGCAGTGAGACCAAAAATTACCATTACTAGCAATTCTCTCCTCTTTCCCCTAATGTAAACTTGTGTGTACGCAGCCCCTGAGCGTGGGTAGCGCGTGCATGGTGGTGGGCAGCGCGGCGCTCACGTACGGCGCCGTGTCGCGCCGCCTGCGCCGCCTGCAGCCCGCCGTCGAGCCGCCGCGACCCGTCCTCGTCGAGCAGGACGTCTGACCGCCCACGCCCACGTCCACGTCCGCGGCACACGCGCGTGCGCGATCACGTCACACATGCCGCAGTTGCCTAGTGATTTGCGTGCCAATTTATTGTCATAAGTAAACTTAAAGCAGCACTTGGAGCTCCTTCATGGAATTATCGAAAATAGTTTCGATTTATCGGCATTGCAGGCTAATGATATTTTCGGGTCCAACTAGGTGTTGTTATAAGAGAAATAGATGTCAAATCTCTTTATAGTAATGATTACGTATTTACTCGTTTATAGCATACTAAAATGTAGTTAGACAAGACAAAATGTACCGTAAATAAATGTTCTATTTTTGTCTTTATGTTTATGTGAACAATATTATCATTTTATGTTTAAAAGAATGACTGATATTTTAGTTTAAGGCGTTTAATATATAATAAAGATCTATGTTTTCATTTAAATGCATAGTTTGATTTAAAGAATAATTCTTTTATTATATTCGTAATTGTCAATTTTATCTGCTGCTCTAATTTAACATCATTAGTTGTATAACATATATATTTGTGTAGGTAAGTATATGTATACCCTACATATATACATATATGTGTATGTATATACAATGTAGTAATATTTAGACATATGTTAGTAGTAAAGTAAATGCTTTATATTATTCTCAATTTCGTGTATAATATAGTATATGTCATATATGTGTAAGTATATTTGTTATTCATATATATTTATTCGTTTATATATGTAATTTTAGTATGTATGTATATCAATAATTACTAGTACCGCATTCCAGTATTCTGACACTTCCCTATGGTTGACTGGTAGAGAATGCCGTTAGATGTTAAGTCCGCCATATGTACACTGACTTGTATTATATAATTGTACATTGAAGTTTAATTAAAATAAATAAATAAATTATATTTAATAGATGTAACCTTCTCAATTATAGAAAACTAAATGATAGTATTTAGTTTTCTTTAATATCTATTCCGGTCTAATTAAACCGCGGTTTAATTAGACCGGAACACTTTGTCTCTAATTTCAGGGGAACTTAGTCCTTAGTGAGAGCATAAAGACAGACAGCTTTATATGTTAATTTTCGAATTTGCAAAGTTATATCAAACATAACAATACTCAAAAGCATATAATTAAGTACCTAATTTTGAGTATTACTTTTCTGTTATGTCCATGGTACTGCTCATGTATATAGGCGACGGTTACCACTTTCCATCAGGTGGGCCGTCAGCTTGTCTGCCACTCTAAGTTGTATAAAAAAAAATTATTGGTATTACGTATAATTACTGAGGACAAATCATGTTATGCTATACATCATCATACCAGCTTTTAACTGTCCATTGCTGAACATAAGCCTCCTCCTTAGAGGGTCTTGAAAGTAGTTATCACGCTTGGCAGGCGGGTAGGCAACTAACTGCAGTTAGGTTTTAGAGATGTTTTATTAAGGATGCTGCTGTCCATCCCTTGCCCTCCCTTAGTCGCCCGTATGACACACACGGGAACGGAAGGGGTGGCTTATTCTATGCCGAGACCACACAGCTAAAGTTATGCTACCTAAACTATGAATTTTCATGCTTAATAATCAACTAAATGGTCAGTGAAACAAAATGCTAAAACAAAATTTAGTTTATTATACAGAATATAAACATTTTAAACATATTTAACATTAAAATAAAACAAATTTAAATTTGGATAAAATTTGTAGAAAATAAATTAATAATCTTGAATATAAACCCTTTTGATTAAAAACAATAACTAAAATTTGTTCACAATAAAATATATTACTCAATGAGTGGTTTGAATTGAAACCAATATCTCTATTTAGATTCTTTTTTAACATAATATAAATTTCATTAAAACACTGATGGCCAATATAAAATTATTTTACATATTGAAATTTGTTCATTTAAGTACTTTATTGCAACAGAAAACTAAATTAAACAATTATAAATCCTAAATGGAATAATTTATGATTTGAGTCTTTAAATGTTTGAAAATGGCTTTAATCCACAACAATTAGACACCAATAAAAATATTTAACAAACATTTTAACCTAATGTCAGTCTTATGAACAGAGAGACAGGAGTATTTGTTTATAATGTGGCAGTATAAAGTATAATATGGTGAAAGTAGGCCTCTAGGCCAATTGGAATGCAGTCAAGCGTTTACCATACTAAGTATGTGACAGTACATGCGGCCCAAATTGTCAAGTTTCTCAAAAGGATTATATTGTATGTAGATATCAGAACACTTGACTTGGAATTATTCAGATTTAAGAACATACAGAAAGTGTGTATTTAATTATAATTACCTATAAATAACTGAAACTTACTTCTAACCAGCCCATCTATGTCTAGTAGTGTTAATGTATAAACTATATTTTTCGTTAGTCATTTTATTTAGTAAAAAATCTTCTTGATGCATCTTATTTTAAAACCGACTGCATAATATAATAATAATTTATCTTTTTATCAAGTTTACATTTTTATCAAAACAATTTCTTTATTTTATTACCCATTACTAATAATTGGGACAATGGCATTATATAATAACAAGACATCAAGATGGTTCATGAAATATGTAAACAACTACTAGTTCTCTATCAATTTCCAAAAATGATTTTCAGAGAATTTTTAATGTTTTAGTTGTCTATTAGAACATTTCCTAAAGAATCACTCAGAAATAACATGTAATAATCTTTGAAAATTTACAGAAATGTAGTATTGAATGTTTTCCTTTTATATACACAATTATACATATACATTTTTGTTTTAAAAATTTATACTTTATCACAATGTTGTTCTTCAAATGCAATAACAATTTACTTATCACAGTATTAATCTTTTCCAAAGTAAAAAAAATAGGTATTATTAATTTTTAAACATTATTAAAGTTAGATAATTTAGGCCTATCATATTTTTATGATATAAATTTATTACATTTTTATTTAATTTGTACTTATTGTAATTTATTACAAAATCAATGTATTACATTGCAAATTTTAACTTCAATTATTTAAATTTGAGAAGTATGAGTTGACAGACTCCAAGATGCTTTCTGCGACCGGTTTAGCTGCCACACCAGCTATATCTAAACCAAGAATCTCAATTTTGTGTGCTGTTGAATTCCCTATAGCAAAACGTGGCAATGTCGACAATTTATTGTTGAATGTCTGTAGCTGTCTGTGAATGTACTCACACCCTGACGGACTGAAGAATACCATGCAGCAGGGCTCCTGTGTGCTGTCACTGAGCGCCATTAAATCCTCCTTTAGATTTTCATTCTCTTTAGTTTCATATACTGTAATAGAGTCTACTGTAATTCCCTGTGTCTGTAGAATGTTCGGAAGAGACTCAGAGCGCAGGCTGCCACAAGGGAATAAAAATTTTGAAGTCTTTGAATTTTCCCCAGCAATTAATTTAGCTAAGTTTTCAGCATTGCCTGTGGTGCTGCCTAGTGCCTCCAGGCCTAGTAATAGTGTAATTTTTTGGCTGCTTGCGTGTCCAACAGTGTAGACCCTCTTGGTACTCCATGTTACAAATTTAGTAGGATCCCAACATTTAGAGACTGCTTCTACGGCTCGTGGGCTCGTCAGTATAAGGCCCTCGTATTCGTTTTGTGAAAGTTTTTCCTTGAGTGTGTCCAGATTTATGAATGTGAATTGTAATGGTTCCACAAATGCAACTTGGTAGTTATTATCAGTGAAAACTCTTTCGTAATCTTCTGAAGCACTTTTGAATAACACAACTTTCTTCATATTAATGTAGATGGAGGCACTTTCAGCAAAGTTTACTGGCGGATATTAAGCGAGTTCTTTGTGTTAATCTTTACAGTGAAGCTAGTTGACCCTGAGGAAGAAGGATATTGTTATTCTTAAACGCTAAACGTCCACAAGTAGTACATTCTGTTAAATAGGTAATTACCATGCGAGACAGCTTGGCACTTACATGTTGATAATAAATTAAATCAAGAACAGCAGGACTTAAGTGAAGTAAATATGACTGGAACAAATATAAAACAAAGTGTAGGACTAGTTTCAAAAAATTTTCCGCTACAATAGGATAGAAATGTACAGAATAATGTAATTTTAAAACTTTATAGAATGGAAGACAACAGTAAAGTTGACAATTATAGTTGTGATAGATAGATGACATTTGAATGACGTTGTCAATTTGACGGATATGTCGACGTCTATTTCTATCCATCACGGATCAAGCATAGTCCCTGATATCCTTCTTCTATGATTTCTATAATAGATTAAGCATTGTACCTTGGAATTCGCTTTCTACGATTTCTAGGGTTGAAAACCATGTTATAAATTAAAAATGTTCGTTTCATATTTTTTACAGATACGATTTACGTCCCTAGATGGAAAGTATAATTATAAAATATTTTATAACGTAGTGATTATTTGATGATGATTATTTGTTCTGAGGGTATAAAAGTATTATCATTGATTTAGTATAACGTGTTTCTAAGATTTTTAAAGTGCGTGACAGTAGGTGTTATAATTATAACGTAGCAATTACTTGTAGCGCATTCTTTCTGCCTCGGTTGTATAGCCAACTCTTTTTTAAACTATAATTGGTGTACACCAATCGTAGTTCAAAAATAGCTGATAGAAAGAAATGCATAATTTTTTGTTTTTTTTTTCACGGTTTGCTTTGTAATTGTAATTAACCTTTTTAAGTCCAGAAGATTTTGTTTCTGTTATCAAGTCGCTGTCTCTTCTGTCAAGTATCTATTTATTCTGGAAAATTATTTTTGATACTTCTTATATTTAAAATTATTTTAATAAGATTCTGTCAAACCATTTTATGCTTATAACAGTATTTAGTACAAGTAATTTGTTTTATGGGGATGTGAGACAAGGATTGATGTGCGTGGCTCCTTCTTCCGATGCCGTTGAGCACATGTACGAGCGGGCTCGTGGTGACGGCGCTGGTGGCGCTGCTGCTGCTGCCGGCGCAATACTACGTGCCGAACTTGTACTTCAAGTCCGACGAAGAGTTCCAGACTCCGCCGCAAATCACTCCTGTTCCCACTTCTACACATGTTTGGTTCGACCTTGCGTCCGCTCACGTTCCGCCTCTAGACCTCATTTTCACAATCGTATTGCTGACGCTAGCTTTTATTACTTATATATTCGAATGGATCCAAAGGAAAATAATGGAAAGAAGAATCATGAAGGTGATTATAGATTTTCGTAATTTCCTTTACATAATATATTTTAAAATTGTTATTTAATTGTTCTATTATTTATCTAGTGCATGGTATAAAATCAGTACCCATTTTGAAACATTCTTAAAAAAACAAGTTACCTACTAAATGTAAAAAAAAAAGTTGCATAACTTTTGCATGGATACCTCCTCGTATTACGCCCAACTCTGCTGTTAACTTGCTTGTTTGCTGTTGTTTGGTTGGTTCGTAGCAGTGAAATTATCGGATACTGTAAATGTCTTTGACTCTTATGGTGTATATAGATTTTTTTTTAATGGGTGATAATGGAATGGTAACCCCCCACCCACGCTATCGGTATACACCGACGGGTTCACCAGTGAGTGATGATAGGTGAGGATGAAGCAAGTCAGTTAGCCCATCGTGACGAATTCAACAAGAATTGTTCACGATGGTTCCCCCTGGAAGCCTATATATATTGCTAGCAATGTCGAACTCCATTGCTAACAATCCCTTTCCCCCATGATGTATAGATTAATTATGCCTAAAGATATTAAAGTTTTTTATTACGATCATGTGATTCAAGCTCTATGAATTTTAAATGATGCATCCAGTGCATATGCTGTTGTAAGCGGCAGTAGGTTTTTTTTCCAAAATAGCGGCTGTAGGTTGGCATAACCAAGTTATTAAAACAATCAAATTTAGATTATATAGATAGTGTCTCCATATAAATGCTTCGCCATAAACAGGTCAACATTTTTTTTAACACGTATTCGTGAATTGGAATACCAGATTATAAATGATTAGTTAAAAATTAAAGCAAAGGTTGTTGTAATATAAAATAGTAATATAAAATATGATTATTGTTAATTATTAAATCCTCTAAAATATTTATTTATATTTTTAACTAGCCGCGACTTCTCTGGCGTGACTCAGTAGGTATATAAAGTAACCTATATACTTTTTATAGTATTTTATGTGTGGTTATTAGATTGATATAACTTTTTTATTTATAAACCGATTGAAATGAAACAATAATTAAATGTTAAGTGGAGCAAATCGCAACGCATTAGTGAAAACTGCATTCAAATCAATTAAGCCGTTTCTGAGATTACCGTGTACAAATGTACAGCCAAACATACAAAAATTCTAAAAATAATTGTTTTGGATTTTATTGCGTTTATAAAGACCCATATAATAGTTTTCCTTACATATCTTTCATGTACAGACAATTGATTAAAAATAATACAATCAATTTATATTAAAAAAAAAAATATATGTTTAGTAAATTTTGAGTCCATTATTAATTCTTGTAACATTGAAAAATGATGCTAATTTTTTATTGTATACAACGTTGTTTAAAAAAGTTCAGTTAACTGTTAGTTGAAACCGAAGAAGTTGATACCGTTATAAAAAATCTCAAGAGTGATAGTACTACGGGATGGGACGGCATATCTACAAAACTGATAAAAATGGTCAAAGATTACATAGTTCCAGTAATAACGCACATAATAAATCTGTCTATTAAAACGGGTGTTTTTCCTCGTATGTTTAAAATATCTGTTGTTCATCCAATCCATAAGACGGGGGACAGAGACCGTCTCGATAACTATCGACAAATTTCAATTCTATCATCCCTATCAAAAATATTAGATGCTCCATCTATATAATCAAGCTTCCAAAGTACCTAGTTGATTTCCTTATTTTTGTTAGACGAATATATATTAGCGACACACATACAATTTACAGTTGAATCAGTATTTGAGTGCGAGCCTGGACCGACTGCGTGCGTGGGATGCCCGCCAGGAGCAGCTGGAGGGGACCCTGAGGATGGTGCACAACGCCACCGCCGAGTACAACCTGCTGCTGTACCTTCTACTGCGCAAGCACCGCTGCCTCGCCGCGCACGCCGGCCCCCCCTCCAACTGCTTCTTCGACAAGGATTTGGACGATGAGCTGTTTTCTTTAAGGAATCCCAACCTCGAGCCACAAGTTCTATGACGAGTGATTCTAGTGTTCCTCATACGTGGTCTTTGTTTGTTGAATATACTTACAATAGTATTAATTTGTTAGTAAGTTCATTTAAATTACTTAGTTTTTACCTATAGTCGGTTCTCCGTGTGGTCACAGCATAGAATAGGCCACCCGTTCCTTTCCCGTGGGTGTCGTAATAGGCGACTAAGAGAGGGTAAGAGGTGGGCAGAAAGGTTCCTGTTAAAACATCTCCAAAGCCTAACTGCGGTTACCAATCCATCTGCCAAGCATGGCAACTACCGGCAAAACCCCCTTGGATGGAGGATTATGTTCAGTAATTCAATAAAAATTAATGAAAATGTAACCAAATGTTGTTGTAATTATTACAGAAAGTTGGAGACTTTGTACAAAAGTCGTTTGCTTGGGTACCTCTGTCCTATTCGTGTTTCAACTGTGAAGCAGTTGTGTTTGCATGGCTGCGTTTCGGTTTGAAGGGTGGGATATGGCGTGAATTTACTGGGTACAGAGGAATAACACCTGAGTCCTCAGGAATGGCAACGCATGGAGGGTATCATGGGTGAAACAGTATACTCTGTTATGTCCATGGTACTGCTCATGTCTATAGGCGACTGTTACCACTTCCCATCAGGGGGGCCGTCAGCTTGTTTGCCATTCTATGTTGTATAAAAAAAACTCTTTGAATAAAATTAACAACAAATCAAAATACACGACACGTGACACGTTGACACGTAAATCGATTTTTGATTTGTACTATTTTTGGCCATTTTGGCCAAATTAGTTTTTTGCTCGGGTCAATTATTATATCGTCATAGTCGTAGAATACTGACGGATCTATATATGTAATCTTTGTCAGATCCGTCACTATTCTACGACTATGACGATATTTCCATTATATTTAGTTGAAACACACTATAATTTTTTCCAATTCGCCCCGTGAATAGAATATTCATTTCTTTGATGAATGCGGTCCCGGGTTCGATACTTTGTCCGGTGAATTTAGAAATAGAAATTCATGAAAAGAACTCTTCTAAATCGGCAATGGAGTTTTACTTGTGTACTCGCGTCTCGTTTGTGTGGCGCTTTTATTTGATATAAAATGGCGTCTTTTATGTATCGGTAAGTAGTAATTTATTATATTTCAATTGTAATTTGTTAATTGCCTCGGGAAATACAAAATACAAAAAATATTATTGTCCATGGATTTTGATTGATTTTAATTTCGCGTAACAAATAGCTTTTAGATTTACTTGGTGAAGGTTAAAGAAAGAAGCCATGTTGATTGGCAAGCAACGTTTCGGGTTGTTGATTTTCTCGTATAAATAAAGTAGTAATAATAAAAAAAAGTAATAAAATAGAGCAGCAGCGTCCTTTTTAAAACTTCACTTAAAGTCTAACTGTGGTTGCCAACCGGCCTGCCAAACATGGCAACCAGTAGCAAAACTCCCCTTCCGGAGAAGGCTTATGTTTAGCAGTGAACAGTTAAGGGCTGATTTTTTTTTATACAACTTAGAATGGCAAACAAGCTGACGGCCCATCTGATGGAAAGTGGTAACCGTCGCCTACAAACATGAGCAGTACCATGGACATAACAGAGTATACTGTTTCGCCCATGATACCCCCCATGCGTTGCCATTTCTAAGGACTCAGGTGTTATTCCTCTGTACCCTGTAAATTCACGCCATATCCCACCCTTCAAACCGAAACACAGCCATGCAAACACAACTGCTTCACGGTAGAAACACGAATGGGACAGAGGTATCCAAGCAATCGACTTTTGTACAGTCTCCCTCTGGATATGATGAAGATGGTAAATAAAGTAAGATGTTTTGCTCTTTTCTGCATCTTTTTTTAATAATATTATAGGTAGGTTTCTTACTCTTATTTAAATTCAAGATCAGGACGTAACGCGACGTGATTACAGGTAAATTACAGATGGATTCTTATCTCTGTACTGAAAACTGAGACTTGCAAAGTTGTCTATCCCTTACACAGGTCAATGACACAAAAATGTTAGACCTCAACTGCAGTGAATGGCGGGAACAGCTTCATTACAACTACCCACATAAAGATCGTTAGTCCATAGTAACGCGTTCGAACTTTGAAATGAGTATCCCATCCGAATCCGAGTAAATGTTGGATCGAACCCAATCTCTTTATCTATTTGCCAAACATGATCAAATCAACTGACAACAATAATTGAAAGAAGGAACTACAGGGCCCCGGCGACGAATACAAAGTGCTTCATTACTGGGATCATATTGTCGGTGGATGAGCGCAGCGCAGCGGGCGGCGGGCGAGCGCTCGAGATGAGCTGATATTTTATGCGAGCAGACTTGGGCCCGAGCACGTGACGCGGTCCTCACACCGGCACCGTACAGATTTACAGGTGTAGCATATGCTGAGCTAATATATTATTAGCTTACTTTACTAGTAGCTGACTTACATATTTTTTTATTATAGCACATGTGACCATACCGTCGTACATAGAGACAATAGGGTCCATGAATTTTTTCCAGAACGATAAATTTTTACCAGAGGGAGACTTTGTATAAAAGTCGATTGCTTGGGTATCTCTGTTCCATTCGTGTTTCAGTCGTAAATCAGCTGTGTTTGCATGGCTGTATTTCGGTTTGAAGGGTGGGATATGGCGTGAATTTACTGGGTACGGAGGAATAACACCTGAGTCCTTAGGAATGGCAACGCATGGAGCGAAACAGTATACTGTTATGTCCATGGTATTGCTCATGTCTATAGGCGACGGATACCACTTTCCATCAGGTGGGCCGTCAGCTTGTTTGCCATTCTAAGTTGTTTAAAAAAAATTTATATGATCAACGGAAAAGAGATTTATTTACTTCCAACGGTTGGCCGGACTATATGCCGGCTCACTAAGTGTAAAGGATCCGAGGTTACAGGATGACTGACATATACCTGAATATATTTTGTTTGATATATAGTTCAATTACAATAACGGATTTGATTTGACTAATAAATTATTAACTCTTATACTGTTTGTAAGTCTGTATTGAAACAACGCAGAGATGTTGCATCTCTGTGAATTTTCTATCGAATTTATCATGGGGAGTGTTCTGAGGAATTGTTCGGATTGATACCTGCTGCTGATTTTCACCACCGTACAACCCGCCACAAACTAAAATTTCATCTCAATCATCTGGACGAGTGGCGGTCTTCCACCGTGCGTTTTTCAAGGCACTTTCTTCCACGCACAACCATTCTTTGGAATCAACTTCCAGCAGCAGTATTTCCGAACCGATACGACAACATAACCTTCAAGAAAAGAGTATATTCCTTTTTAAAAGGCCGGCAGCACACCTGCAATGCCGCTGGTGTTGTGGGTGATCATGGGTGGCGGTAGTCACTTACCATCAGGTGAGCCACATGCTCGTTTGCCCCCTGTGTTGTAAAAAAAAAACAACTTTGTAATTTTGTTGAAAAAAAAAGCGACAAATGAGTTTCTTACTTGCTCTTCTCTGCTGGCATTGCATCCCAAAAATTCTATAATTAAGTTTACTTCAATACAAAATATTATTGTTCTTCTTATTAGTATTATTGACGGAAATAATCAGGACGCGGTAATAAAATTCAAGCGGAATCGGAAAGTCAATTGTATGATAAAACCTGCTTAACAAATGTTCGTACTCGATCATTTACGGTAGGTTCTTTGTAATTATTTTGGGAGCGAGGACAAATGAAGGGAAATCCGGACGGATGGAACCTTTTATAGGGTCCCCTCCCACGCTCCGAGCGTGCACTGCCTGCGCCCGGCGCCCCCGGCGGCCCCGGCGGCCGCCGCCTGGCGCCGCGCTGCGGTGCTGAGCCTAAAAACATCCTGTTTGCCAACAAACACATACACCTAACTAACTAACTAATACACTACGACATATTCTTGTTTAGTAAATTCCATTAGCTATAAATAATTTTATTTTTTATCGTAACATCGTTTTATTTTTCCTAAGGCGAATTCCATGTATTACGTCACACGAATTCTCATGATGTTTGACCCCTTATCCTTGTCACAGCTAGTTATATTTCTGAGACTCTCCCCCAGAGTGACATTACATATTTTGCAATTTTACATTTATCTTAAATGATTACTATAAGTGATTGTACAAAAGCATATAAATAAATAAATAAAACAGCAGTTCCGAATTTTATAATAATAAAAACTTATTTGCCAGACATTACATAATAACATGTCACAGTTTTTTTTGAATGTTCACTATGTTTTGCCACATTTAATCATTAATAACATAACAATAACATAACATTTATAACATAAATAAATTAGCATGCAAATCTTTGTAGGTAGTATTTATATTTTTGTTTTATATCCATTTATATTTATAGATAAAATTGGAAATATTTTTAAGTTTTTCGTTAATAGTTCAAATTTCGCGTTTTTATACCAAGATCTATAATCTTAAATTCTGACGTCACGAAACTTATGACTCCTCCCATCCTTTGTCACACTCCGTCAACTCCGTCCCTTTAACGTGTGGTGTAATTTACGGATGCCTCCTGTGAAATTCACACATTCTAAATAATTACAGTTGGATGGCAATGGAGGAATGATTTTTTTTTCACATTCTTGATCAATCAGACGATAATTTAATAAAATATCCAGTTTAGAAAACTTGCTCGCATATATTTATTGGTTTAGTATGAAACGTAGCTTCTGTAAAAAAAAACTTGATAAATTTCACAGAATGCATTGAAACGTTATTTTAATGAAGTGTTTGTTAAATTTGATGGCGAGAAGGCTTTCACTATATTCATTGATATATTCAAATTATTTTATGACCTGTGTTTCCTGATTCGAAAGTTTGAAAACAACATAAAAAAGAAGCGAACATGGATATCAAATGGCATAAAAATGTAGTAAACACAAGCTATTTCTTTTATGGAAATAGAGATGTAGTAAAAATATTGAAGATAAGTATTTATGCACTATTCAGCAAGGTATAATAAGATTATCAAATCATTATATTATAAAATCAGCAAATAAATCAAAAGCAATTTGGAATAAATATAAAAATAAATAAGCCAAATATATAAAGACAATAATTAAACCTAAGTAAAATTGATCTAATCTGCAATGGATTCCAGCACATCAAGCAGATTCAAGCAGATCGTTTAGCTAAACCGGGCATAGAGAAAGGTAGGGAACATCAGTCATTACCACATTTCACTGATTATATATCTAAATTCAAAAATCAATGTCAAAAAGATTGAAAAGAATATTTTAACGAAATTTCAAAAGAAAAAGGCATTCGGTACAATACTATTCAGGCTGAACATCCACATAATCCTTGGTTTTGTGGAATTAAA